TTAAACTGCATTACAGCCCTGTGTGGACACCGTAATTCAGAATTAAAGTGGCCTTCATTCAGTTTATCAATCTACTTCCAAAGTGAATTAAACTAAACTGAATGAAGGCCACTTTAATTCTGAACTAAAAAAAGAGTCCACACAGGGATTTAATGTGGTTTAACTAATCCACTTCATATTTACATTTTACTTAATTCAGATTAATTTTTCTGGATGCCTCCATGTAGACAAGCCCTCAGTCTGACCTGATCATTGCTATTTCTCTCATCAGCAACACTTACTGAGTAAAGAATGCTCCATGAAAAGTTATTAGCTCAGGCCATTGGATGCTTTCTCCATAAAAGCAAGTTCAGCAACAGAAATCTGAACTCAGATCTCCCTCTTGTCCCACCCCAAACACCCAGAAACACCCACACGGACAGAGATGTTTCTACAAGCTTAGATGCCAAGCTAAAATAAAATAGGAGGTTTCATTATTAAACTGCTACACAGGTCTGAGGCCCTAAGGCTCCAGACTTGCGGAAAAGAAAGAAACATTCAGAGCACAGAGAGAGGGGCACCAGGGTGAGGAGTTTGAAGCAACCTCTGCTGTAGATTTCTTCACTTTATCTTGGTTGCTGCTCTTACAGGGCCTGGGGCTGCATCCCTAGATATAATGAGTTGCAACAAACGGAGCCTGGAGGCCACAAATACATGGGTCTCTGTGACCAGCTCTGTGACTGGGAGGCTGGGGTGCAAACTTCTAGCTGGAGGGATGAGTGCGATATTTGCTGCCTGGTGATTCAGGTGCTAAGGAGCAGCAAGCAGTTCACATGGACCCAAAGGCTGCAAACAACACCACATTCTGAGGGCAGGTGCCCTTGACAGGTCTAACAAGAAGCAAAGTCTATTCTGATGCATTAGATTTTCTTTTTCCTACTGCGGTTATTCACTTACTCCCTAGTTCCTAGAATCTAGTAGATGATGACAGGTCTCCCTGTGCCTAGTGTGAATTAGCCAGGTCCTCCCGTTAGAGCCTGCAAGGTCAGAAGAATAAAAAGGAAAATGATTCCACAAACCAAGACGATTCTGAACGTATTTATGTGTTATTTTTAAAATGTGGTCTTTGGTTCTTGGTTTTATTTCACATCCTCAAAGCCAGAGAGCTTATCTTTCCTATGGCTTATACTCTCTATCTGCCATTAACTTGATTTCCCTCTGGATGAGATTACTGGCATATAACGATCTACTGGATTAGAAATAACTCCAAGCATTTCTCCGGTTGGTAACAGCCACACATTCTAGGCATTGCTCCTGCATTGGAAGCTTTGCATTCCCTGTTAATTATCCAGAGGCACTGCAGGAGGGGAACTGGATGGCTCAGGAGACTGGTACATGGATATAGAGCCTCGTCGATTCAAACCCAACCTGGCTCAAGACAACCCGGTGGGAGCCCCACTGGCTGTTTGATGGCTTGGGTGAAATGAGATGGGGCGGAGGTCACAGCTCAGTGCCCAGCAGAGAGAGGTTCACATTACTTTGACTGACGCTAACTGGGTGTCTTACTGGAAGCCTCAGAAGCGCAGTGTCCACATCCCCCAGACACCCCAATGGAAGAACCGGGGAGCTGAACCCCAAAGAATAAGCAAGTGAATCAACTGGTTGTATACAAGGTTATGGTGTATAAATATATGTCAGGCAACGTCTTTTATGGAAGCTTGCAATGTTCTGAACTTGGTGGTGATTAGGCGATCTGTATCCAGGTTAGAGTTCTGAATGTACACGTGTACCTTTGTGTAGAAAGTTGTACTTGTGGCATCGCCTCACAACAGGGAGTGAAGCCAACAGGCGAGGAGGGACGCCTCCCAGACTAGCTGTTTACACGAAACTAACTCCAGGCACTGAGTATCCTACAACCCAGGGAAAGACAAGGGTGGATCATGAAAGTCAATGGAAAGACATTAAAACTCCAAGAAAACCAAAGAAGGGGAGTTCCCCTCCCCACTGGGTAATCAGGAATTACCACAATGTGAGAGAGAGAAAGAAAAGAAAGAAAACAGCAACTTCTGTTAAAAGGAAAGAGGGGCTAAAGTGAAGGGGAGCCAGAAACAGAGGGCCAGCATTGAAGTAGGGTACTGCCTGTGAAATACTGGATCCCCGCTAGGCCAAGGGCACGCTGGGAAGCCGTCCAGCAGCAGTAGGTAACTTGTATGAGAAAAGGGAGTTCAGCAGACGCAGGAGTGTAAAGCCTGAGGTTGCGTCTTTATGCTGATTTTCTGTGTAACCTGCGTGTGTTGCTTTTCCTCACTAGTTCATCTCTGAACCTACGATTTTCCTGTCAAATAAATCTGCTGTTTATTTTTACCCCGAGCAGGTCTCTGGTGTGCGAACTGTGTGGTCTATGTCCCAGTGCTGCTAATTCATATGATTTTGTCATGAGTCTCATGATTATTGGTTTCCTTAAAGCCCCAGCTCCTGGAGCCAGGTGGAGATGTGATGATTTCAGCCTTCGTTCTTAAAGAAAAAGTAAGTTTCTAGCCCTTGTGGTGGTGGAGAAAGCTTCAAAATGTTACCCCAGTGCACCCTCAAGGCTCAAAGCAGAAGGCAAATAAAAAGATCATCAAATCTATTATTTTTACATAATCTCATGATTTAAAGCTAATCTTGTGATTTTTGGTGAGCCTGACTCATGGGTTTTGAGCATTTGGGATTGGCAATAAAGGTGCTCCGAAGTGAATTAACTGGTGGCAGGTTTCACACCTCCGGGGGTGACGGCCCAGAGGGGAGAAGTCCAAGTGTCTGGGGGTTCAGAACTTGGGGAGACAGATCTGGGGAGACTCGGGACTGGAATCGGCTGTTGAGTCATGTTGCAAGAGGTCACTAGGCTGGTGGAAGGCAGGGTGAAACCTTGCACCTGTTGGCTGGTGCCAGAGCCCTGAGCCTACCAGCACAGCACCTGAAACAGGCAGGCAGAGAGAACCCCGATGGCTCTGGGTGAGCCCACCATGTCACACGGGGGTTCGCGTTACCATGACGGACGCAGCTGGTGCCTCCTGCTTGGGAGCCTCGGCACCAGATACTGCGCTGATCTGAGCAGGGAGGCCGAGCTACTCTGCGCTTCACGGGAAGCTTCCCAAGGTCGCCCACCCGGCCTCCCAAAGCCTCCAACTGTCTGTTTCGTAAGTCTCACACCCCTCAAACCAGTGGCAGGGTTTCCCATGTTTAGCCTTGCCCTGAAAGATTAAGGCCCAAATCGGCAGAACTCCCTAGCATTCAATGGAGCCTCAGTGATTTACACCAGATGAGGATCTGGCCCGGAGGACTTTGACGCAGGCTCATAAACATTGCCAATGTTGCAGCTGCTGCTTTGCTTGTGCCTGGCATGTAGGTAATTCTGCCATCAATATTTAATTATACTGCTCTATGCACTATAAAAATCACTAATGCATTTAAGGGAAGCATGGTATTGAATTCCTTTGTTTTTTCAGAGCGAAAGAGAGGTTTATAAATATCCACTATTGACCTCCCCCTCTCCCTCAATGCCTTTGTGAACGGTCTATTCACTACACACAGGCGGTTGACTCCCTCTCTCCTCCCCAATACCAGCAGCCCCCCCTTGCTGCAGAAGCCTGAGCGTAGCGGAGGAGAAAGCAGTCTGAAGTGTGGATCAGTGTGTGCTGATGTTTAATACATGGCTATGCAATCTGCATCAGAGGCACTCGCACTCCAGCAACGCGGCCTGCCCTCTCAGGACGTGGGGCTTTAGTTGGGTCACAGCAGTAGCAACAGCCTCCCAGAAGATTGCTTTTTTCCTGGATCCCAGGACGTTAAAATCCCAAAGCACATTTGGCCAGGGCAACGGATGCTAGGTTACTTAGCTACACCTCCTCTGAAACCCGACTCCTTGAGATAAACCCTCCAGTGCTCCGACCGCAGAGACGGGTCGTGCATGCGGCACAAGCAGACGCAACCGCCGTGTTTGTTTCACCAAAAACATTGATATGCCTTATAAATACAGGGGCCGGATCGTCAGCTAGTGTAAATCGGCGTAGCTCCAATAAAGCCAACTGAGCAAGGCTGATTTACACCAGCTAAAAATCTCACCGATCAGTGCTGAAAAGCAAAACAGAATTTGAATCAAACTAAGCGTGATCCAGTAGGCTTCTCTAAGGCCCCCATCCTCATGGTATCTTACCTTCCTAAAGCTCAGTGCAAAGTGACCATCAGCTAGGAAAAAGCTGCAGGAGCCATTTCAAGCTCCATAATAGCTTGCGCACATATCGTGGGAGGGTGATTCCCCGCTCATGGAGGAGAACTTGGTTTAGTGTTTCCTCTAAAAGAGGACATGTCTAGCTATGTTACAGAGCCCGTGCCAAAGTCCTACCAAGGGAAGAGGAGCATGTTACTAGGTGGGCAACAGCGGGGAAAGTGGTTGCCTTGATATCAAAGAACATGCCATGACCGATAGTTTTACAAATAAGAGGCAAATACAGTCACTTAAATGCCATGAAAAACTGCAATCCAGTTAGGGTATGCCTACACTTATGCTGCTATGGCACAGACACTTACTACAGCCATGGAAGGAGTTTTTCTGCCGCTGTAGTTAATCCAACCCTGTGGGAGGCAGTAGTTAGGTCAGAGGCAAAGTTCTTCTGTCAGACCAGCTGCATCTACACTGGAGGTTAGGTTAATCGACCTACATCTCACAGGGCATGAAATTTTTCACAGCCCTGGGTGACGTAGCTTGGTTGACATAAGTTTTAGGTGTAGACCAGGCCTTCAAAAGCTATTGTAAGCGCCTCTTCAGAGTCTGTCAGCACAGGTACCCACCTGTGCTGACTGTAACCCAACGACTCATTTCATCATGGCGAACAAGCAGCTGCCAGATAAGAACAACTTTACCTGGGCCAGATTTGAACCACTGACCTCAGCGTGGGAACAGCTCCATGTGCCATTGCCTCAGGCCCTGGGCCAGGCAGCCAACCCCCTTTATCTCCTCTGTGAAAGGGCTTCCATCTCACCTTTTCATCAAAAGCAGCTTTCTTCATGATGTGCTCCAGACGCTGCTCATGGTTGCGGACGTGGGACTTGGGCACCCCTGGCTTTGCACTTGGCTTATCTTCTGTTTCACCGAGGCTTTCTTCAGAGACCTGCAATGACGGAGGTTTACTTGGACAAGCCACACTGTATTTACAGTTCCTCCTTCTCATTTGTTCTCTTGGAGACAAACCATTGATCCTGTGAAGGTAAAAGTTGCTCTCCATGAGCAACCTCTTCCTTCTTCATTCATAAAATTCAGTATGACACGACCAGGATACTCCTTGGGAAGTGCAACAGCAGGTTAAGGAACATCCTCTGTTACAAATCTCGTTATTCCAAGGTTATAACTCAGCAATAAACATCACCGTTCACATGGGACTTGCTATGGGAAGCCTCTGCATGGGAACATTGAAGTGCTAATTTCTTGGGCAGTATCACCCTTTCAAAGGGCCCAAGTCAGCCAGCCAGCCAGCTGTGCTGGACACAGCTCTTGGGTGGGCTGCAGGTGCAACGACAATGAGAAGACAGTGCAGTCTCCTGGCTGGGGCATTGAACCAGCTGTCAAGAGACCCTAGTTCTAGTCCCAGCTCTGGCATGCTCTGCATTGACCTGCGGCCAGTTGCTTCATCTTTTGTGCCCGTCTTCTCTCTCCTACCCTTTGCCTGTTTTGTCTATTTAGACTGTGAGTTCTTTGGGGTCTAGACTGTCCCTCACTATGCGTATGTGCAGCACCTAGCACAACGAGACCCAGAGCTGAGTTGGGAATTTTAGGTGCTTTTGCAATACACTGGGAGGTTATAACAAGCTTCTACCGGCCTGGGGAAAAAATAATCTAATATTAGTTTATTTTATTCCTGCCTGCCTGTTCAGCTAACGCACATGCTCAGGGACCTAAGAAAGGTCACAGACTGAAGATGACAAACCAGCACGGAGCGAGGATTTCAATGGGTTTATCCTTCCTTGAGAAGTGAGATAAGGGAAGTTACCAAGCAGTTTTCACATGAAACAGGACTCACTTAGGTCAGTTTTGTTTAGTGCAGCCTCTTGTCAGCGCGATACAAGGGTCTACGGTGGAGGAAGAGCGCACTGCCCCAGGGGATAAGCCTCCAATTACCTTTTGGTCCCATCAGATCTACAAGGCACACTGGTGTTTTTCCTTAAGTGTCTCTCTCTTTTCTCCTGGCTGGAGGACGGAATTAGAATGAGAGGGGACCTTTCAAAGGTGTGGGGGCACCGTGAACTCTCCCCAAGACTCCGTGCCCATTACCATGGCGTCTGAGCACGTAACAGCTTTTTCCCTCCTTAAGAGTGGTCTAGCCAGGAGACTTAAGTCCCGTCCCGTCCCGTCCCCCCCGACTTCCAATAGCTCTTTGCCATCCAGTCCAGCCTTATGAAGGCAGCAGGCAAGGCTATGGCCACACCTGCCCTTGCCCACCTATGTTACAACACGAGACATCTCAAGGCTCCAGTTCTCCTCCTGCTAAGCATGCCAGACAAAACAGGCATTCCAGCTCCTCACCACGATGTCTGCGTCAGTACCGGTCTAAAACACAGGCTCGTTAACAGTTTTAGGGCCCAGTGGAGTCTGGATCATGCCCTTATTGGCCATTTCCTATTGCCGACTCCTTCCTATTTGTTCCTGGGGATCTTTCAAAAGCAGAAAGGGCAGGTAGGTGCCCATTTCCACTGAAAGTGAGTGGATGTTAAACAGCTCCTTGTGCCTTTGGAAGTCTCCTTTTAAGGGCACATCTACACACTGCACTGTCTGCGGGACACGGGCTTGTGGACTCAGTGTTTTCAAGCTCCTGCTTGAGCACTGCTTACAATTGCTAGACCTCGGTCTCACAGCCGTGCTAACACATCCAGACTGCACTAAGCAGACCTTCTGACTCGGGTCTGTGGCTTAAGCTACGTCCACACTGCAAAATGACAGGGCCTGGACCCAGGCTCTGACCCACCCCCCTAGCACGGTCGTTGGGCCTGGGTCTTGGGTGCTTGCTGACCCCAGTCAGACTGATGTATGTGTGGAAAAAAGGGGGGTGGAGCTGAAACCAGAGTCACAGCCCAGGTTTAGTGTGCAGAGTAGACATACCCTAAAGTTCTGCTTAGAGCTCAGTCCTGCCCCGCTCAGACAAGTGGCATTTTCCCTGCTGGTTGTCAGACTTTTTTCACTCCACCCCCTGGGAATCAAAGTTCAGGAGAGCTAGGCTGAGACCCACTGCCTTCCTCTAAAAAAGCCTGACTGGAGATCTCAGAACACAGTTTCTGGTTTGTCTGTTTAGGCTCTTTGAAGCTGTGTGTCCGTACAGCGCCTAGCACGGTGCAGCCCCATGATGGCTGGCCCTTAGGCACCACTGTAATAAACATGACTAATAATAAAAATGACAATTTTTTAAAAAAACAAAAATCCTAATACCGTGGCAATTATTTGCCATCATTTTAAGAACTCTGAACGTTTCAAGCCCAGCTTGGCCTCTTGATCACTGGCATGTGCATTTCCCCGATGGCATCTTGTAAACAAGAATCCTCCAGAGATTTTTACACTATCGCTTTTCCCCAATTGCATTCCCCGAAAAACACCCTCTGCTGCGAGTCGCCGGCTCTTAAGGATTAATTATCTTGCCGAGCTGCACCAGGGGAGGCCTCTGTTGAAAGCGATCGGACTCACATGAGCCCCAATGACGCCGTTTCCGAGCCTCCCCCTCTCCCCACCCCTCCCTCCCTCGTCGCTCCATGCACACGACCCATGGCTCTCGCGATGGGGGCGACTCCCTGTCGGAATTCTGCAGCGGCGCGAATGGCCCCCGAATGCACCAAGAGCAGAAATGGACAGGCGAGGCCGTCGCTCGTTGGCAGGAGAGCACAGCACCCGTGGCCTCGGCCGGAGCGTTCCTGCCCCTAGCCAGGCAGGGAAAACCAGCGCGCGGTACAGAACGCTAGCATTAGAGAGGGAAACAGCCGTCAGCACAGGAAACCAATTCCTGGGGCCGACGGCTATTGAGGCTGTAAGCATCTCGGGGCAAGGATCATACCTTGTTCTGTGTTCTCTGCAGCGCTAGAAGCACTGTTGGTACTTAATATCCACCCCAGCTGTGCCTCACTTCACCTCCCTCCCTCCCCTCCACATCAATGCGACCCTTTGCTAAAGGCACATTAGCAATACCCTACAGTCCCAGCGACAATCTGTCTGTCTGTCTGTGTGTGTACGTACACGCGCGCGCACTGCTGCCCTCTACTGCGTGGAACGTGTCAGGCCCAATTGTGGTTTTACCAGGTCCCTCTCCTGGCTGAGGTTGGGAGCTGCTCTTGGTTTCAGAGGGGAAGGTGGAGAGGACCACCCAGGATGCGGCAGGCACCCGAGCAGACATGCGTGGCCAGGGGATCAGTTCTAGCTACAGAGGCAGCTGTTTCAGTGAGGGATGAAATGACCTCATGTTCCTGGCGTGCTTTGGGAGAAAGGTGAAACAGAAGGGTCCAATAATAAATAAATAACGTCATTGACTATCTACCAGCAAGCAGATGCCAGAGCATCTCTCTACACGGACAGCTGCTTCACCAACGCATGCAAAAGGCAAGGAGATGGGATACATTCAGAATGACCTCAGCCATTGTTGCAGAATCACTTTTCAGCACTTTACATTTCAGTGAGTATTGATTACTGGGGTCCCGGCAGAAAGACGAGCTGTTTGGCTCGGTCAGACACAATGCTAATGTCACACGTTTCACATGGTCCAAGCCATGGACAGCCTTAAAGCTGCTGGTGCACAACATACAGATCGTTGTTGGTGGAGGGAGGTTTTAATCTAGGATTTTCACTTGCAAAAGGAAAGCTTTCGCACCGCACTTGGCTTCAGAGGAAAGTTGCCAGGCAAAGCTTCCCCCCTGCTCGCTGCCATCATGGAGCAGAGACAGCTAATCCCACTGAGAGGCCAGAGCTGAGGATCTGGGCAGAGGCAGCTGGAGTTTTATAACACAAGAGAGAAGCAACTTGACCTAAGACTTTCCAAGTGGAGACACTATGCAGGGGGCTGGTTTCCAGTCATTGCCGAGCACCCTCCCTCCGAGTCTCTCCCTCCGTTAGGGCTTGCCCACCCATATAACGAGCCATCCAGAATCATTAGTCTTGGCCTCTGTGTCTAGGACAGACAGTACACTGCTCCCGCTCACACGGCCCCTATAATTTGTGCAACCTACCCCCACTCAACATGGTGCTCGGTCCCTCTTTAGCTATGCCTGGGCCACACAGAGAGCTTGATGAATCTGCCATGTTTGCTCCCCTCAAGCTTCGGGCCGTCTCCCGTTACCAGCGTCCCACTCCCACCTGGCTGGCCTTCCGGGCTCGTAGCACAGCTTCCGTCCTCCTCATCTTCTCGAGGTCGATTTCTCTTGCAATGAGCTGCTTGGCCTGGTACGTCAATGGTTTGCGAGCCGGTAGGTCCGGGAATCTACAGATGTCTTCCACGTTTCTAGGGGGAACAGATTTGGGGGAATAAATGAAACGGAGCCAGTTAATATTGGCTGGTACTGTGACAGCCTTTGGCTGCTGGTAAGAGGGAGATTTTTAGAAAGGTACAGAGTGCAGCTGGATAGTCAGCTCCCATTTATGCCTTTGAAAAATCTTACCCTCAAAATCTAGGGTCAAAGGTTCATTTACACTGATCTGCAGACTTGTGGAACTCGGCTTTGTTTCATCCTAGTCTCATTCAAAATTTAGTACTTGCTTTTCTATTATCCTTCCTTTCACAAGAAAGCTCTATTTATTGGAAGGAAGCGTTGCCTCTTGGTCATAGGGTAGGGGGCCGGGAGACCTGGGTTCTAGCCCCAACTTTGTAACTTCCTGGGTGTGAGACTTTGGGTAAGTAACTAACTGTCTCCTTTTACCTTGGTTTCCCCATCCTTAAATCCTTACCAGCCTCCCAGGGTCGTGCTGAGGTTTAGAGGTCTGAGAAGCACTTTGAAATCACTTGGCGAAATGTGCCAGGAGTGCAGAGCAGGGTCGTTTCAATGGATTCCAAACCAGGGAGAAGTTCATACAGGTCACATACTTCTTATCGTTTGTTTTAATGTGAACGCGGCGAATGTAATGCTTGCGTGAGAAGCCACGTTGACAGCCCTGCCCTAGCCGAGCTTTGTCTAGCCACCGCACGAGCGGCAGCAGTGAAAGGACCCTTTGCCCATTGCTCTGTCGACACACTTCCACAACAGCTCAGAAAGAGCCACCTCTACTAGCCAGGGTAGCAGTTGCCATGGTCAATCCAGTCCTCGGCCTGTTTGCCACCAGTGCCAACAGGGACACCCGTTAGTATTAACTGTATGGGCGAGTAGGGACTGGTCCAAGAGGCTGACCCATAGAGACCACTGACCCTGGGCAGCATTCAGCCCAGTGACCTGGACAGTCAAAGCACTGCACTCCTAACCCACCAAATCTCCACTGTACAGGTCTATCTTCAAACAGACACCTAACTATGCATGGATTGATTTTAAGGTCAGCAGGGGCCATTACGCTCTTCTGGTCTGGCCTGGCCTGTACGTTACATAGCAACCCAGTAATGCCTGTATTGAGCATGATAAATTGGGGTTGATCCACTACGTATCTTTTCCAAAGTCAGCTAATTCTGATTCAAAGATGTCAAATGATGGAGAATCCACCACGTCCCATGGTGGCCCGATCCAATGCTTAACCACCTCTCTGTTATTTCTAGTCTGAATTTGTTTAGCTTCAACTTCCAGGCAACAGCCCTTTGTCTGTCTAATTATAGGGCCCTTTAGTAACTGGTAAGTGCCTGCATGAGTGGAAGTTATCGCCAATGATCAAGTCCACCTGTCAACCTCAGTTAGGACTCACTATCCCTCATTCTCATGCTCCCATATATACAGCCCTACCGAACAGAGAGCAAAATTTGGAAGGGCTCTGACACCTGAGATGTACAAGGTCAGTACCGATTGCAAATGCATCTGATAGAAATCTTCCATTGTTGTTTGCAGTGTTGCTGTTGCAGCCGTGTGGATCACAGGATATTAGAAAGGCAAGGTTGGGTAGGTATCTTTTATTGGATCAACTTTTGGTGGTGAAAGCTACCTGAAGAAGAGCTCTGTGTAATTCAAAAGCTTGTCTCTTACCACCAAAAGTTGATCCACTAAAAGATATTTGCCTCACGCACCTTGTGTCTCCGATAGAAATGTCAATTATTCAACATCAGAACAAGATCGCTCAGTTTTGTTCTGTCTAGTTCCAGTGCTCTGCCCATTGAGTTGTAGAAGCTAAAATAAAGCAGGTCACCTGGGTTTAAAATATTTTCTGAAGATTATTCAGTGAGAAATCCTGGATTAAAAGGATTAAGGGGAGGGATGGACTAGACAAGGAAATAGACAATGTAATAACATGCGAGACAGATTTTATTGCAGCTATTGCAACTTGGTCAAAAGGCTCTAACTTCTACAACCTATATGTCAGACATTTGCCTATTTACTACATTTTCTACCTGATCCTGCAAAATAAAGGGTGCGCATCTAATCCTGGACGAGGTAAGAACCAGCTACAAGAAGAGAGGTTTGGTCTTTCCTGGAGTTTTCTCTTGGATTCCTTACTGGGCGTTTAGTACCTGATCCAAAGCTCAGGGAGGTCAATGGGATTGACCATCCATTTCAAAGGATTTTGGATCCTAGACCTAAATCATGCAGCACAAGTAACGTTTCGGGATTTAATAAACTCAGGAGCAGATCTAGAACACTTGCAGATAAGTCCAACAACTTTCAATGGATTTGAACAACAGATGTATTTAGAATTAACTCCCCAATGTCACACTGCAACATGAAAGAGAATTCAATTTCAAAGAGACCATTTCTAGTTCTTCATCTTGGCTGACAGGCTTCCCCAATAAATTAGCACACTGGCAAAAGATCTGCATTGTCTGATCTGCCTGTCTGAGGAACATAAAAGTGGGTTCAGAGGTAAAGCACTCCATGCTACAGCAACCTGTCAGAGCATTTCTTGTTGTATTGTCTGTCTTTTTCTTTATTAAAAAAACCCAACACTGTCGTTTGTATCAAAGTATCTCTACCCATTCCACTTGAATGGGTTTAATTAAGCATCCTTCACATAAACTGCATGGGACACCTCCTGCCCCAATTTCCTATCAAGCACTGAATCCAACAAAGGAGAGAAAAGGGTTATAGCCAAATCCCATTGTTGATTTTATTGAGCTATGCTATAAACAGGCATTTGGGTTAAGCAAAGCAGGTTTATTCTGAACAGGATTTGAGCGCAGGACATGGAGGGAAGAGCAGTTAAAACATGAACACAGCCAGAGAATTTCTTAGAAACCAGATTAACCTTCTTGTATAACAATTATAAATATTTTATGTCTTCTTTGCACTTGATAATATTTCTCTTGAGAAAGAACAAAAAACACCCATGCATCAGAAGAATTCTCAGTGATTTAGAGATCAGCTTTCTGCCCAATTTGCTATTTGAAAAGGCACCCTTCTTCCAGTTTTCTCATTGGCTCTCTGCTGTCTTCAGAAACAGGCAACAAAGTCATAAAACAGACATCCGACTGAATCTGTAACTGTAGGAAAAATAAGGACTTCTAACAGAGCTTTGCTTTAAAATGTGGTGCTTGTCATTTCAAATATTCCTCTCATTTAAAAGTTTCTATGGCTTAAGATGAGGTTTAGAGAGATTTTACTATTTGAAATTAGAATGGCCACTAGCATTTTTGAGAAACAGCTGCATTGTACAGTCTTGTCTTCCAAGCAACCCATGGTCACACAGCCTAAAGTGCAAATAGAACATAACGCACCTTCATGCATTTTCCGATCATTACGGTAACTATTACAGTACATTGCAGAATATGCCAGCAAAAGAAAACAATGCCCAGACTCAAAACTTAAGATCCAATATCACAGCGCATGCCTGCACCAAATGCTGCTTTTCATGTCATGTGGTTTCCACACTCTGCAACATTTTCAATTAGAAGCCAAAACCAGGGACAATCGGGGAGGGGATACCATTTCACTACCACTCAAGTGTATTAAGTCAGGTCTACATTGTTTCCATATGTATGTTGTGAAATCTACATGTGCCGCTTCAAGAAAGGTGAAGGAATCACTTGAAACAAATCTAAATACCTACTGCATAGCGTAACTGCCAGCAATAAGATGCACAGAGTGAAACCTGTGCAAAATGTTTGTCCAACAACTGCTGTCTTAAATGATCACACAAAATATCCTCAGATGTACCAAGTGCGATTATAATCCGTCACTGGAAGATCCACCTCCATTAAGCTTCTCCTTTATTAGAAGGCCAATTCAAATGTTTCCAGTCCTTTGGGCTGATGCTTGAAAAAGGTTTCATTGGAATTAAATACAGTGTACGACTTAACTCCTGCTATTGCCCCCCCCCTTTTTTTTTTTTTAAAAACTTGGAGACTACATTAGCATAAGTCTTAGCTACAGTCTGGGTCCTGTGTTATTACACTGTAATGCATCCCCAACACCTTGGATGTGTGAACTGTAATGTACATACTTAAAACATAATATTTAAAAATTATTAGGTCTGTAGCCTGGTAACTGAATACCATTATTACTAATATTCAGCAAATAAAAATATAACAAGGGGACCGATTCATTGCTGGTGCAACCCCATTGAGATCAGTGAGACTACATCAAGTAGTAACACAAACCAAGGTGGACAGAACTCAAATCTTAGGTAAGGCTGTGAATCAACCAGCATATTTTTGGTGCAAAAAATGACTGGCTTTACTCCTGGTGCAATCAAGTAGACTCTAAACTCCTGTGTGCACGTGAACAGAGATGTCAATCACATATTAACAATAACCCTCTCTGCAAGCTTTCTGGCAACAGAAATCTTAATTCCACCTACATGGATGAGCTGCAAAGCTAAAGACACTGTCCAGCCCCATAACTCCAGTCATAGCTACACATCGTTTTTCTGGAGACCTCTACTCTAACTCCTAGTTACTCCATATTAGCCTATGGAGCTTGACACACATTTCTGGCAAATGGAATGATGCCATTTTCCTATGGTTTTGCATTGTGCAGACAAGAATTTAAATGGGGAACGGCCCTGATGCAGAGAGAAATCTCAAGGTTATTAGATACATCCCTTGTTTTTAATGCTATGAATCTCTGACTTTTTGCCTTGGGTAAACCATCTTCAAAACTACTGTCCCCCTCTCTCACCAAAACCAGCCTCGACTTCCAGATGTACCCCCAACATTTAACCCAACACAAAAAGTTCACAGAGAAAGTCAACCATTGTCCTTGGGTCGAGTTCTCTGTTTGCAGAGTGTTGATGTTTCCAAGTGCTGGATCCCCTTTCATCTGCTTTGCGCTGGCGAGATGATGTTAACTTGGCTTTGGACAAACTTGTCTTTACTGAGAAGCCAGGTTTAAAAATCACACTGCACAGAATACCATTCAGGGCGGACAATACTGCATTGTTCCTGCTCAGAACACTGCAAGCTGGAGATGACTGAAGGGGAGAGCTACGCAGAACCTCAGAGCCCAGTGCACAAAAGCCTCCTGTCCTGGGAAAGCCACTCTCAAGGAGTTTGATGTATCGAGTTTTCCTTTTCAGATCATCCCATGGCTAATAAATCAAAACTCTCTCTCTCCATCCACACCAGTTGCTTCCATCCCATCTCATCGAACAAGAGATGGAGCAGACCTGTCTCTTATCAAACCGGTCACTCACCTACAGGGACCACGTAAACCCAGCCAAGAGTAAGGAGTCTTTCACTGTCTGGCGAAGTTCAGGCCATTGTAACTACACTTCTCTGTTAAGTTCCTCACAGTCTCATCGCCGGTGGATAGCTGGAGCGTGGCGGGCAGGTAAACGAACAGATAGATCAACCCGAGAAGGAGCAGCACAATTACCAGCGGCACTCCCCAATCCATGATGAACAAAGTCTCGTGGCAGCGAGCCTGGAACATAGGAGCAGGGGTTCGTGCTGCATTCTATTGTTCCTTGGACAAAAGAAGAGCCACAGGCATCTTTGGTTTTTCTCTCTGCCGGCTCTTCACACCTCTGTGTTAAAAGCTGACAGGCAGCTGTTTCCCCTCCTTTAATCCGATGAAAACGAACAATCTCATGCCAGCATTAGCTTGCGTGGATGCCCAGGGAGAGAGCGAAACCTTGCGAACATCGGACAGGTGGTAGGAGAGCAAAATGCATCAGAATTGCCCACTCTCCCTTTCTGCTGTTCTCAAGAGGGAAGGAAAAAACAAGACTTCATGTGGAGAAGATAGAGGATTTGTGACACTTTAATATTTTCCTGGAAAGAGACAGCTCAGTGATGCAGAAAGAGAGTAAAACCCCATCAACAAAAAAGAGGGGGGTTATATTGAAAAAATGTCAGTAAGCCCCTTAGATACATAAGGGATTTGGGACGACAGGACATTTCAGCAGAATTAACCTTGGAAGTGCTTTGCAAAAAGATTTCTTGAATGAAAAGAGAGAGATAAGAGATAAAGAAGCACAAGTCCTTTCCATGGCCCGTCAGCGCCTGCATTCCTTAGGTGCTTTAGAAAATCTTTATTGCTCAGTTTCAGCCATTCCCTCCACCCACTTGTCAATCACAAGTACTGCTGCTACATCTAGTTTGGGCTTTTTAAAAATTATTATTATAAAAATGATCAAAGTTGATAGCACAGGAAGCACATCAGCATGTAAATTTCATCCAACTTCTATAATTAATTCAAATATTTAAATTAACTTTCTTGAGCCATTTTCTCTCCCTGTGAAATCCTGGTCCATGCTCCCAGGGGAGTTCTGCACAACGCCAAATGAAAGGGATTTTGGCTGGCGGTTAGAGCAGAGGACCTAGGTTCTATCCCTGAATCCATCGATGACCAACTTTGTGACCATGGACAAATCATTTATCCTTGCTGTGCCTCAATTTCCCCACCTGTAAAATGGGAATAACACTTTCCCTACCTCATGGGGGGGGGGGGGGTAGAGGCTTAATTAACACATTATATAAACAAAAATGTGTTAATAGTATTTTTTTTTTAGTACTTCTTATCAGAGGATCTGAAAGAGATTTATAGAGCGTTTCGGTGTTACTTCCATTTTACACAGAGCTAGCTACAGGGACTTGACCCCACCCAAAGATCAGTCAGTGGCAGAATTGGGAATAGATTCATAGATAAGACCAGAAGAGACCACTTTGATCATCCAGGCTCTAAATGACACAAGTAAAGTCACAGGATTCCCTGAATTAATTCTTGTTTGAAATATAATACCTTCTATGGATGTGCTTATAACCATCTATAAAAAGCTACTCATATCTGTTAGATGCTTAGAACATCTATTAATTGTTTTATAAATGGAATCCATAGAAAGTCTCCACAACACGTCACAAATAACTTGCAGAAGGACACAGTTCTCACTGTGCCTCCGGCCTCTATGGGACATCAAGGTAGGCTAGTAAGCATCACTGTTTTGGGAAGATGATAAAGGCAAGCTATCCCTATTTCCATGCTTTCTTCCTCGTGGCTGTTGACTTAACTCACCACCACTGGTCGCACTCCCCATCAGTACCCGGCCCAAAGCCAGTGATCCAACTAGCAGACCAAATTCGGTGATGAATCCTGGTCACGTGCCATCTGAGGCACGTTGCACATATACTAAGATGACGACTGCCTTATGGGTAAGGGTGGCAGAATCAGATTTTGATTTGGCTGTAATTCTGATAGATATCGTCGGGTTGTATTTTTAAGCATGTTTTTTATTTTTATCAGTTTTATCATTTTCTCAGTTATGTGAAATTTTGGGTTTTATCAATTTTGAATATTCACTGTTGTGGGACATTAAGGCGGATGATGGAAATCAGACAATTATTTAAAGACAGCAAATGTTGACAGCGGGACTGCAGGGGCGCTCCCTGCATGGCCAAGGGGCCTGAGACACTTGGCACAAGGTGTGGAGAAGGCTAAGGTCCTGGCCCAGCAGAGCAGAGCTCCCCCAGACAGGCCTAGGACCACAACAAGAAGAATGAGCCCCTGGCCGTGGGAGAGACCACTCTGCTGCCAGACAGCTCTGAACTCCTGGCCGGGAAGTGAGTGGGTGGGTTTGCAAGGGGCTCCCTGCATGGCCAAGGGCCAGGGTACCGGACCTTGCAGGTGCTAGGTGCAGGGGAGGCTGCCCTCACAGACTATTATCAATAGTTATTTTTTTTCCCATTGATGTGTGTGTGTCAGGTGAAATCGACATTTACCAACGACTAACTGTTTCCATCAAATCCTTTCCAGCCTACGCATGGGGTTTTTTGTACAGCTCGATAAAGGAATTAAAAGTTTTCAGATCCACACCTTTCCCAGTGACCATATTCTTCGCATGGGGCTTATATCAACTCTAATTTGTCCATCATAATGCAAGCAATTCCTTCTTATTGGGGTTAAAAAACAATGAAGTCTAACAAAGGACAACTAGAATGGAATATACACTCTGGACAGCGAGATGACACTCATTAACCATCTGCTATTGAAAGCAGGGTTTCTGTTTACAGAGATTAGATACAAGCAGCTGTTCAGACCCACCCGCCTATTAAATAGTTAACTGCAAAGTATCAGCCGCTAGATTTAGAAACCTGCTGTAAAGCAGAGAGAGGGCATGACCCCGAAATACCCATGAAAACCTTCTACAGAAATGAAAAAAAAAAAAAAAAAGCGAGAAGACAAATTGGTGAAAGTTAAAAAGGATAAAACAAAGTCTGATTAGCAAGTGTGAGGGAAGTGAGGGGGTAGAAGAGCATGGGTATTGTGCGGGGAGGGGTGTGTTTAAAGTCAATAGGCAGAGAAATAAATGTGATATTTTAGCCAGTTTGCCATCTGCTCCTAACTTCTGAAATACCTGCTTTTCCCAAAGACTGCAGCCAGGAGCGAAAGCTTAGCCCAGTCCTTGAGCAGATTACATAACCGAGCAGATCTGTGATGCCCTCTGTCACTATTTTGATTCTTGCAATTTTTCTTCTGAATCTTGAGGGGACATTGCTGAGCATTTTATAAAGCTGGAAACTTTTTGTATTGTATGCAGAGAGCGGGAATGCAGCAAAGAAATAATCCAAGGGCTCACTGATTGCAGACATGTCCAAGGCTGTAAATATTGAAGGCTCTTGAGTATTCTTAGTTCAGCATTTTTCTGGGTAGGCTTTTAAACTTTTGGATGCAGCTTCCGCTCTAAAACAGGGAAATCTTTTGGACCAACTCTGAGGGTGACACATTCAACTGAAAGGTTATTAAAAATGAATTGCCAGATTGGCTCAGAGAATCCAGTCAGTATTTTGTCTGCACCCAGGACCGGCACAAGCTGCTTCTGAGGAAGGTTTCTTTCACAGTTATGGCATAAGCTTCCCCCAGGAAAACCTGACCTCCAGTAGTCAGAGGGCTGCCTTATGCCCTGAAACATGAAAAATAAATTCTTGTTTACTTTTAACAGTTGCTATTCTCACTCTGGATATTTCTATTCGCCCTTGAAATGCCTAATACCACACTGAATCCCGCCAAGATCTTTGGCTTCACCAGTCTCGTGTGGCAATGAATACCATGGGCTAATTGCATATGAGAGAAGAACTATTTCCTTTTATCCCCTTTGAATCTGCTGCCTTCCCATTTCACCTTCTGACCCCAGGCGATCGCAATCAAGTGTTTGTGTCACAAAGGCCTTTTGTAGCACACGATTGCTCAGCGCATACTCACGGCTCCAGTTTATAGACATACTGCCCCTCGGGAGTGCGCTGCTGGTGGTAGGTGAGGTTATAGGCCAGCATTGTACTGATCAGGTCAGCCAACTGCTGCTTCTCCTTGAGACTGTACAGCTGCGTGTTCACCTGTAAAGAAATAACCCAAACTGAGACCCCTTCACACAAGAGCTAGCTAGCTGTCACTCTAAGGTACCTATCTGGCACCCAATACCAAAGCATCTGAGCACCTATAATCGTCAGAAGCAGCATTATCCTCACCAGAGACATGGGGAAACTGAGGCATGCGGTGGCCAAGTGACTTACCCAAGGTCACACGGGAAGTCTGAAACAGCAGCCCCTGGGACCCTGGTCTCCTGCACTCACAACTGCCGTCTCACTATGCCTGCTCTGTATGTAAACACCTCTCACAGCTTCACAGAGGGACAACAGAGAGGGTCCCAGGTCAGTCAAACCCCTTTGTGATCCAGCCTTCAATTAGGCAGCAGTTTGCAAGATTATACAAGCTAAAGAAAGACCCTCCCTCTCCTCCTCTTCCATCATGACCCCCAGCCAGGGGGCATTTCAGCAGGACGACAGAAGCAGCGGGGGGGGGCTCACTCAGCAAAGAGCAGGTACAGGTAACCAGTGGCACCAGAGCGCTAACGCAGAACACGCCAGAGTTTGCCATGGAAGCCCCCCCACTGGCTGGCACAAAGGGATCAGCTGTACGGGAGGGCTTGAGAAAGCCAGCCCCACGGCTGGGTCTGGGATTCCATTTCAGCAGCCTGCTTCTCCCCCTTCCAGCCTGACTGATCCCATCTGGCCAAAAGAGCCTGCCTTTTCCCCAGGTTCCTAAAGGAGCTTGCCCCTGCTGGCTGAGGACTCTTCTCTAGGCAAACACAGGAAGGCTGACCTGAGCCCAGTAGCCGTAAGCAGCTGCAGCTCCTCTCAGTTCAGCAGAGGTGCGCTGGCTTGCACCAGGACTGAATGTGGCTCCTGTCGCCATGAATGGAAGCCCTGCTGCCAGAGTGCTGTACAAGGGTGTGGGTAGAACTGGAGTGTGAAGAAGGGAAAAGGTAGCGCAAGGGCTTCAGAATAACCCCTTGCTCGCACCAAAAGTAACAGGCTCGTTATTCACACAAACTACACATTAGCCTTGGTTTCTGAGACTTCACTGAAAGACAAACAAATACACGTAACTGCAGGTTGACCGATTAAACAGGTGACACTTTTCAGCAGAAATGCCAGATCTTGAAAGACATCTGAATGCAAGATCAAAGTGCTCTGAATAAATAAATGTCACATTTTAAGCAGCCCCAAGACATTGGTTAGCAATTGCTTTTGTTTCAAGTCCTCTCCTGATTATATACCCTTGTCTAGCTGCCTTACATAACTGTCCCCTTTAGCCTGAAAATACAGGAAGGTTGCCTCAGGTAAAGCTTGGACCGATCGTGTGCTGTCCCTCACATACCGACCCTGTAGCAGCAACCCAGGACAACTGCTGGATGCCACTGCAGTAGGAAGCAGAACATCCAGCTCCATGAATCAGGACAAACTTTTATAAGGGTTCTGACCCTCACGGAGTGAGGGCTTGTGTCCTGATAGCCATCACGGGATCGGAAGAAGCTGCCCCTTTGGCAGATTGTTCCACAGTTATCCATTACCAGAATTCTTGCCTTTTTCTCTGCAGAGCATAGTACTGATTACCATCAGTCAGAGGACTCGCAATCAGACAGAGCCCTGGCTTGAACTGGTATATAAATGGTCATGCTCTTCCTTATTTGCACTACAGTAGCACCTACAGGACCCCCATCAAGATCATGGCCCCGCTGAGCTGGGTGCGCACAACACAGCAAGAGTGTCCCTGCCCCTACCAAATCACAGCCTAGCCACACCAGGGTGGAAGGGGAACCAGAGGCAGAGAGAGAAGAAGGGACTTGCCCAAGGTCAGAATTGGGAAGAGAACCCAGGTCTCCTAGCTCCCAGTTCTGTGCCCTGTCCATTGAATCAGTGAAAGGAACGCCCTGGTCTAAACATACACGGCACCTGGAGTGGACTCAAGCCACAGTGGAAGCTCTTTCAAGGTCAGATGCCATGTACATTGGGAAAATTCCATCTACACCAACTGACACAAGCTAGTTCTCTCTGCCCCCACTGGGAGCAGATCCCGCCGTCTCCATCCACACATTCCCTCTGGACATCCAGCGAGAGGGGGCCAGGTGCTTTACTCTTCCCCATGATCCGAGAAAGGACCTAGACCAGGTCTGGTCTATGCAACAGATTCTCCTTGCATGCCAGTTATTCCTCTCCAGAGTTTTGCTCTGGTTTGCCCACGACGAAGTTAGTGCGGCAGGAGCCGAAATGAATTTAGTGAGCGGGGAGGGAGAGGCTGAGGCGTCTTGGCCTGTCAAGTGCTGAGGGTCCTCAACGCCCAGCGATGCCCGATGGAAGTGGAGGACTAAGCACTCTGCAGGACTGAATCCTAAAATCAACAAGAAAGAGTGCCTGTCGAAACAACACACACACACACGCCTACGACCTCCTTCACCACTAGGCCATTAGCTCAAAGCTAGCCTGGCTCTGCAGTGACCAGAGGATTATCCCCTCAGATAGCTGCTTGGTGTCATCGGGTCTCAATCCGTTCCCAACAGCTGCAAGCCTACACTGTGAAACCCACCACCCCAGCTAGTTTACTCCCCGATTGGCACCGTTAGAGTGCTGCATTCCTGTCCCCCAGAACACATTAGGGGGCGGGGTGACTTGATCACAGTCTATACGTATCTACATGGGGAACAAATATTTAATAAGGGGCTTTTCAATCGAACAGAGAAAGGACTAACACGATCCAATGGCTGGAAGTGGAAGCTAGACAAATTCAGACTGGAAATGAGGTGTAAATTTGTAAGAGAGAGAGTAATTAACCGTGGGAACAATTTGAATCAGAGTGGATTCTCCAGCAGGGGCAATTTTTAAACCAAGATTGGATGTTTTTCTCGAAGATCTGCTCCAGGAATTATTTTGGGGGCAGGTCTCTGGCCTGCATTATGCAGGAGATCAGACTAGATGGTCACAATGGTCCCTGCTGGACTTGGAATTTATGAATCGGAGCTGACGGGACAGTGAAAGAGAAGCTTTTGTGGCTGCTATCTGGGCTACTTCTCCACTCCCCAGAGACGTCCACTCAACAGCTTCCTTCAGCCCTCTCTTTCTTCCCTCACTTATGCGTCAGGCAGCAATGGCTGCTGCTGTGCTGTGATTTTTAATTTATCAGGGATGGATTCTTGCAACATTATTATATAGAATGTTGCAAGAATCCGTATATATATATATAAAAAGGCAGAAAGAAAAAACAAAATTAAGCTAATAAATCCTTAGGCCCCCAACGTTGGTTTCAGCTGGTTTCCAAGGAGCCAAGCGACTCCCAACTGAGCAAACAAACCCAGCGCACATCATTGTGCTGCTTTTCTGGGCTATTTTTAAACACGTTTGTGAAGGGCTGCAGAGACAATACTTAGAGTGCAGGTAACGTGCTCTTCTTCCCCTGCAGGTGCATATTAGACACTACAGTATGAAAACACACCGCAGTGACCACCTAGGATTTGCATATGTTCCCGATCAAGGCCTTTTCTAAAAACACAGCAGCCTCCAGAAAGGAACAGCCTATTGCACCAAAGACTCTGGGAAGGCAGCTTTGCTTTATTAGAATCACTACCTTTAATGGTATCAATGTCAGTTAAAGACCTTCCCCTCAAGAACATAAGGCCTTTCTGTACAGACTGATCTAGTAGCTAGTACAGGAAGACGGGCTGCAGGGAGTCAGGATTCCTGGGTTCTGTCACCAGCTTGCTGTGTTAGCTTGGGTAAATCACAGTTTACCTCTCAGAAAAATGGGAGCTACTTAAAGTTTTATTCCTTTGAGATGGCTGAAGGAAGACAATAAAGAAGTGCAAAATGGAACAATTTTTACTAGCAGCTTTAATGCTGATAAATCCCCACGAGAATCCTTCGTCACTGACTGAGCTGTGCATACAGTGGGCAATAAACTACGTACCTTTCCCTGCCCATTTATTTCACAGGAAAACTCAGGATGCATGAGAACACATTTTTACTGCATCTTGACATCTGATAACCAGAATATAACCAAGCCGGACAAGGCAGCAGCTGTGTTCAAAACAGGAGGGTGAGCAGAGATGTTTGCATGCAAAAAAAAAAAAAAAAAAAAAATTGAAAGCCCAAACGGTATGTGTGTACGTTTGCGTGTAATCAAATACAAATCAGGAATGTTACTGTAGCATTCGATGCTGAAAGTGACACGTGAACTGATAAAGGGCTGCCCCATCCCCTAAAGAAGGGGAGGAAGGGTTGTCACAGAGAAATGACAAAGGGAAGTTACAGATAAAGGAGATGAAAGTCCTCGTGTGTAACAGCAGAAATCTATGTCAAGAAAGAAAGCTGACGTGACAGCGTTTTTTAAAAGATCTACGTCTAATGGCAGAGCCCCAGCAGGGACCCGAGGAAGTAACAATGCATTGCACTTGCTCTCTGCTGACCTTCTGAGGCTTACAATGTGGACAATGCCATTCTGCAAATGGGGAAATGGAGGCAGAGATATTACGTGACTTGCCTGAGGTCATGCAGGGGGTCAGTGACAGAGCCTGGGATAGAAACCAGCTTTCCTCACTCCCAGGCTCTAACTGCTGGACAATATGGTCTCACCCTATTGCTCTCGCGGGCTGTGGATTATGCCAACCACCACTTGTTCCTGTCACAACAGTGCTCCCCCACCCAGCTGGGAGCATGGAAAGCTTGTCTCCTTGATGGCATCTATCATTTCACCAGAGCCTTGGGCCACACAGGCAGACTCCCAAGGACTCTCTGAAGCCAAAAGAGTTTGGTACTGGTACTCCTGAACCCAGCTCTGATGCAGGAGCACAATCCAGGTCCCACCATTCCACTGAGCACAGCGCTCAAAGGGGTGTTCTCAGCTATAAACCTTCCTGTCCTGTTCCCTGATGGCTGCTCCTCAATCCAGACCCGCAGCACTGACTGCCACACCATGCCTGGGGATTGCCAAGCACAGGCTGGCCAGGGCAGCAAGAAGCGCCATGCTCTGTGCCCGTCTGGTGACGCAAATAGGGGACTCTGACGAAGAGACCAAACTCCTGCTTGCTTCTGACCCAGTGAAAACCCCATGCAAATCCCTCCCAGCCAGGATTAGAAGCCACACTTGGTCCTTCCATTGCAGGATTAGCAAGCTGTTCCCCAGACTCATTTGCAGTCACTAAGGGACAATCTATCTCCCTTTGGTACTTCGGTGCCCCACCCGGCATTAATGGTAACTGGGGGCATCAGCACCTTTAATGCATTAAGCCTCACACCTCTCTTTTGAGCAGGGCGGGGCTGTGATCCCCATTTTACAGATGGGGAAGTGAGGCCCAGAGAGATTAAGTGATTTGCCCAAGGACACACAGGGCAAAGCCATCCTGTGGCAGAGCCAGGAATTGAACCTGGCTCTCCAGTGTCCCAACCTAACCCCCTATCCATAGACCACTCCCCTCCTCCTTCCTCTGGGTGAATGGTCGAACCAGCCATCAGACATGCAAAGGACATAACATGCCAGCACTTTACAGGGACCCAGGGGCTCAGCCTTAGTGTTAACTCTGGGTAGTAGAGAGCATCCCCGAGAGCCTTTAACTCTTGCCTTCAGGTGCTCTGTCCAGAGGGTGATCCTAATCTGTTGTAGCTGGGAGTGACGATCCTCCCAGAAAGGGGGAGATCTGTTCAACAGGAGAGCGTAAAGGAACAACCTCCACCTTGCAGGACTGGGCCTTCTGTCGCTGCTTGTATTTCAACCACACAAAGAGCACGGCATCCTAGCAATGCCAGTTACGAGACTTTCACCAAACCACCCTGCCTTAGCTTCCTGACCGTGGAGGACACACCTTGAACACAGGTGAGATTAACTGAGGGACGAGCACAATGAATCCGTAAAACCTTTAAACACAAAAACAACATGAAGTAGATTTCTTTCCCTGATACAAGGAGGACAGTTAATACCCAGGAGGATTAAAATAGTGAGACACGCCAAATAGGGTTGCGTCACTCTCCCCCAGGCTGGTAGGGACAGAGCCCATCGCTCTCCGGTGCCAAAGCAAAAGAGCAGCATTTGCTGACCCAAGTCAGACCCAGCCTCCGCAGCTGCCAGGGCCTGTAAGAGGGATCAGAGAGGAAAGCACTAGTGTCCCAGCATCCACTGGGTGTACTTTGATCCCGTCCTAATACAGCAGCGTGTTCTCCTCCGGTTGCACTCACAGACCAAATCTTGCTCTATACCCCGCTTCTGCTCCCGGCCTTCTCTGTGCACGCTGCTGGTACAAAAGCTTTCTCTTCAGGTCTAGCTACCGGTCTCTCCCCCTCACTGGACGGCTGCCTGTACTTCTCTGCTCCCTTCCCAGCGCTGCTGGCCTCACTCCTTTGATTTGACCTCCATAGACACCCTAATTCTTTAGGCACCGGGGACTTACCAGGACTGTTTATGTCTCACCTATGGAAGTGCAAACTGACACTCAAGTGCATAAGAACAGACATGTGCCCCTCTCCCCAAGAGGCTGATTACCAGAGGTGCCAAGTGCTTGCAGCTCCTCCTGCCTTCAGCTGTAGGCACTCAGCACTACCCCACAGACCCCAACAGTCCAGCATCGGGACTGGGATGTCCTATCACAGCAGCCCCACTTTAAAGCTAGCCCAAAGTTTGGAGCACTACACTCTGGGTTGGCGGGCTCAGTCCATTTCTGTTCTCTGCAATTCATACCCCATCCCTGTCTGCTGCTCGGAATTACTCAGTGCATTCTGGGACCCAGTTTGCACTACGGACACTTTCCAAAGGGACGGGTTCTCGTGCCCCATGGACAAGCACAGGGCACTTGCCACCCATGTGGAGACATTCGCAGACACCGCCCTTCCAGGGGGTCACTCACCGGCCTGAGCTTTGGGGAGATGATGTCTAAGAGCAGACAGAGTGCCTCCAGGATGAGAGACTGAGGCCTCGCGTGGCTCCGAGAGTTAGGTGCGATCCCCGATATCATGGATGCCACGAGATTCTGCATCTGGTTCAGTTTGGTCAGAGCCTGGTTTAAGACAGAGCAGGAAACCTGTGAGCCACTGTGTTGCAAACGCACTTATATCCAAAGGCAAATCACCTAGGAACCCAGGAGTCCGAGTCAAGGTCCCCTGCTCCAACGGCTGCTTCCTTCCCACAACACAGCTATAAGCATCGCACCTATAGAAAGGAAGCCAATAACCCTCCCTCGTAGGCCCCAAACCACTGGCCCGGGCCCATCAGTCCTCGGTACTTGCCTCGTACTGGCTGTTGGGATAGGCTAGTCTGGGGATGCTCGAAGCAGCAAAGAGCAGATGAAAAGCAACAGGGAGGAAGGGCAGGTATCTCATCAACTGGAAGTTCTGGCCGTGCATCACGGTGCTGCTGACTATGTCGCAGAAGCCTAGCCACTCCAGAGCCAGACACACCGCGCTGAAACTGGAATCCTTTAACTTCATGTTCAGGAAGTTGTCGTACAGGCCCTGGAAGGAACAGAGCAGAGCGACGATTACATATTGATCCTGACTAGACAGCCTGTCACCTTCATAGCTGGGAGTCAGGGTTTCAAGCATCCCACTAGTATGTAGTTAAATTGCTGCGTATCCACCTGCTGCACTATCCAGAAGTAACAGCAAATCAATCCTTGTGGCAGCTGCGTGTTAGATGCACACAGGCAACTGACCAGGTTTTATTGATTTGTGACAACCAACGATCAGATCAGCTGCTCTTGTCCAATCCCAAGTTTTATCACAATTGGTGTATCACAATGACCGGAATTTATCATGCTTCTTATTTCTCACCCTCTGAAGGCTAAAGGCCGTGTTTTCATAACTGTGCATTTCTGTGTGTGCAGGTTAGGTGTACAATTACCATTCCTGAGTCACAATTGCAGGTACAAGCATGGTATTTGCCCATGAAAGTGTGTGGTTTTCAGCAACAGTGTTTGCAAAATTAGCATCTAAATGATTGCAGATTTGTGCAGGTACACAGTTACAAAAATAAAGGCCTATAGATCTTTAGCCAATTAGAACAGTATGGAGTTATCAGTGTTTCCATCAGCAAGTATTTGTTATACCTCCACAGAGAGTTTAACGGGTGCCTTTGGGGTTTTTAAACTTTGGTACCCCCTGCCACCCATCAAAGGGAACTGTAAACATTTATAATTTGTGATAGTTAACTGAAGAAGAAATCCATTCCCTGGCTAAACTTCCACACAAATGCCCTCACACAAAAACATGATTTAATTTCACAATCAGAACGCCTGCCTTGGAAGTCTCCAGACAGCCACTGAGTTCAATCAGTAACATTCCTGGGATTAACTGAAACTCTCGCTCATGCTGCTATGAATCAAGTAGCGTCTCTGCCAAGAAAACTTTTCAGTTCACAAAGGGCACATTGCACAGAGTAAGCAGAACATCACGGAGAAGCCAACGGAACTATACCGACTTCCACCTCAGAGTCTGGTTCACAAAATTCATCTCCCTTTTTCTGTGTAGAATAGCGACATTTTTCCTTCCTTCTGTCCACCAGGATCAGATACTGCGCCACCCCACCCCACACCGTTGAGTTCCGTCACGACACATTGCATTGTAACTCCACACGGGAGCGCTGCGTCCACCGCTTCCAAGATGCCTGGCGATATCACATTGCCACTGTGGTGGTGTCCGATGGTTATTTACCCTCCATGGCCAAGATTAACGAAGCATAAGGCGCCATGATTCTCTCATCTACCGAGGTATCATAAGGCAGTGGCTCTCAATCAGGAGTCGGGGGCCCCCTGGGGGGGGGCCGCAAGAAGGTTTCAGGGGGCCTGCCAAGGAGGGCCAAGGTTAGGCTCCCTGGGGCCCAGGGCAGAAAGCCAAAGGCCCTCTGCACAGGTCTGAAGACGAAGCCTGAGCAACGTAGTTTCCCCACGCAATTGCCCTGCTTGCTACCCCCTAACGCCGGACCTGGCTTTTATATGCAGAAAACCAGTTGGTGTGGCACAGGTGGGCCGTGGAGTTTTTATAGCATGGGGAGGAAGAAGGGGGCTCTCGGAAAGGAAAAGGTTGAGAACCCCTGTCATAAGGGAACCTGGAAGTAATTTTCAGTCACCACCGTACCATAGTGAAACATGGTTTTTCCCTTCATTCCATTCCACAGCCTCTGGCTTGGCCTTATTTTCGAACGGTCAGCTGGCAACAGATGTGGTCCTATAGACTAAAACGGAGAGACCTGCCTGGTGTGATGCCAGCTATAGCTTGTGTTAGCCAGATCTCTGCCTCATAACCTGGGTGGAAAACACCTGGGGGGGGTTGGAGGCAACAGCACCTGGCTTTCCTGCTGAAACTGCTGTACCTGAGTGAGCTTCTCTTGCTCCCCAGAAGAGGTGGCGAGATGCAGGATGTGATGGAACCTTTGGGTGGATGCATTAAGACCAGCTCTTCCCCCCGACATGTTTAACAGGTCAGCATCAGCTCCCAGGAAGATCTGATTTGGCAAGGAAGGGTCCATTCCAATCCTCTGTCTGGGGAGAGAGAAAGGAGGGAGCATGGGTGAATAATAAACCCCATCTCCCCTGAAGAAAGGGTGGTGTGGTCCAAAGACAGAGATTAGCAGAGTACACTCAGGCTGTTCAGAATGGCTTTAGCATTGCCATCCATCCAAGTTACAACCAACACTGGAGATGGGACAAGAGAACGCAAGAATACAGGGTACCCAAGAGCTGCTCAAATGAAGCCCTCCATGCTGCAGGATATGAATTATGGCCTATGCACTGTAATGGAGATTTCAGATTTCTCCATTGCAAGCAAATGCACATAGCTACTCGTTTCTGTAGCCATCGTGGTACCTGAATCCCCCTCCTCCGCCATACTGAACAAATGAGAGTCCGTTTCCTACGCTACCCTGCTCTCTCCATGGTGGAGACATAACCAGCACTCTTTACCTCTGAACCTTTGGAAGCTGGAAGATCTCCTGCCAGATGGAGAAGAGCCCCTTGTTCTGGTCCTTCAAGCCAATCTTCATCGTCTGCACCATCCTCATGCTGAGCTCTTTCTTGCCTCGGCCATGAAGGAACTGGAGAAACAACCAAGAAATCTGATTATAGCCAATGCGATGAAGAATGTGAGGGAGGGTTGCTGCTGAAGAGGAAGGAAATTAGGGGGAAGGCAGAAAGAGGCTTTCAGTGGCATTTGACCATTCATCCTTCCACGCTTGTGCTGATAAAAATGGGAGTTAATGGCACCCGAATCTGACTTTACATACTCTGTCGATAGGGTGATGCTAAGTTGTGATCCCAGAAAAGGGGGAGATCTGCTTAACAGGAGAGCTGAAAGAAATTAAGTAGAGCAGACTGCATGGACATTTCAAGGGCCCAGTGATGGGATACAGAGCTTTTCCTCTAAACTGCCAGCTGGAATCCAGCCCCGTGTCAAGAGCCACAGAGTCAAGACCACCCAGAGGCCTGTGGGAAGTGACAGCTCTGCTGTACCTGCAAGGTGTTTATACATGAGCGGATGTCATTCTCGGTCTTCTCACACAGCACGGTGAGCGCCCCTGTATCCGCCTTCATGCCCTGCTTGACGGCAATCTACAGAAAAGGGAGTTAGTGCATTAGCTCCTGTATGACACAGAGAAATAATCCCGGGAAGAAAGGCGCTTCGGGTGTACACTGACCTCGTATAGTCTCTGCACCAGCCGGGAGGGTGCAGTCTGAGGAAAATTTAAGAGGAAAGCTTGCTGTCTCAGCTGCCTCAGAGAGGGGACATACCTGCCAAAGGGAAACACAGAGGCCTTTAAGGATAACCCTTAGGGAGGAGGAAAACCAAGCAAAATAATGGGCCTCTAGCTACCGCCCAGGCCTAACTCCTCTCTTCAGTGGAAGTTCGGTCCATAAGGGGCTCAGGCCGCTCTATTGTAGGCCCTAGCGTACATTTACACATACTGGGTTAAAAGGGTCCTGGGTAGCTGAGGGTTTGTAACGCACACGAACAGATGACTTTGTGATTTAAGAAAGGCTAGTAAGAATGAGTTTTAAAAGGTGCCTTCTCTGGGGAGGTTTGATAACAAGTCACTAAGTTGGCTTGGGAATGCTATGGTGGGCAGATGCTGCTCACAAGGGCGTGCTGGGACCAGAAATGTGCCAGCCTCTTTCCCGAACAGGGCTACAGTTGTAATTTAGCTGGAGGAGAAAGAAACAGTTGAATGATTAGAGAGAGAAAGAAGGGGGGGGGGGAATTGCTTTCACATAACGAATCAGTGTCTTCACCAGAGGTCCCCAAAGTGTGGGGCGCGTCCCGCAAGGGGGGCACAGAGGAACATAGAATCATAGACTATCAAGGTTGGAAGGGACCTCAGGAGGTCATCTAGTCCAAAGCCCTGCTCAAAGCAGGACCAATCCCCAATTTTTGCCCCAGATCCCTAAATGGCCCCCTCAAGGATTGAGCTCACAACCCTGGGTGTAGCAGGACAATGCTCAAACCACTGAGCTATCCCTCCCCCCAGGGGTGCGTGGCAGGGCCTGGGCCAGCCCCCATGGGGGTGGGGAGGGAGCGCCACCCAGCTCCCAGCTCTGCTCCAGTCCTGCCCTCAGCTGCATCCCCCAGCTCCAGTGCCCGGTGCCATCCCCAACCTCAGTGTGGCTCTGTTCCTGGCTTGGGGCCGAGGCTGGGGTAAGGCCAGGAGCAGAGCCACACCTGGCCAAAGGCCTGGCTGCCGGCCCCCACCGCAGCCCAGCTGCGGCTCCACTCCTGTTCCTGCCCACCTAGAGCGACCAGACAGCAAGTGTGAAAAATCGGGCCAGGGGCTGGGGGTAATAGACACCTATATAAGAAAATACCCTGAATATCAGGACAGTCCCTATAAAATCAGGATATCTTGTCAGCCTACACCCACCCACAGCTGCAACCCCAGCTTCGGCCCCCTTACCCCTATCCACCCACCAGCCCCTTCCAGATGTGGCCCCATTCCCGGCCCAGCAGGGGTGCGTGGACCAGGGTAAGGGGGCACCCTCCAAAAAGTTTGGATACCACTGGTCTTCACATTCACACCACACAAACCACGTACTCAGTGTGGTTTGCAGAGAAGGAAGCAAAGCATTCAGAAGTAAAACGAAACACCGCCATTCTTTATTCTAGACCCAGCCTTCCGCAAGGCATGGAGCAGCCAGCAACCCCAGCTGGTTGGTTCTGGTTTTATGCCTGATCCTATCTTCAATTTCCTGACCCAGAGTGAAAGGCCTAAATGAAAGATACTAACTGGTCATTGCAAATGCAGATGATTGGCCTTAATAAGATGCCGCCTTCCCTTCTCCTTTTTCTGCCACCTGCTCCACCAGGGTTAGCTGCCGGCTCAGTCTCCGTGTCCTTACGGTTGATGATGCTTAGCAGCACATTAATAGAAGCCTTGAAGAATTGGGTGCGGGAAAGAAGGGAAAAAAGAGTGAATGTTAGTTATTGAGGGATGCAGGAAAGAGTTAATACAACTGAGCGAATTCCCAGCGATGGGGGAAAGGTGGGGGGTGAGTCAGGATGCTCGACTCCAGTGCTGCTGGGTGGGGCACTGCTCAGCTGGATCTCTCTTCTGCAGGGTCTTCTGCCCAAGATCAAGCACAGAACTGATGTTAGCATGAAATCTGTCCCTTTCTGGGGGACTCTGTGCTGGCATCGCTGGGGGGGGGGGCGGGCGCTGCGATCCAATCTCTGAGCTCTAGGTCCTGTATGTATCCTCTCCCCAAGACACCCAAGTGTACCGAATGGTTTTTTTTGGAAGGCAGCCGACCACCACACAGCCCAGTTAAAGGCTTCACCCCATTCTACAACTGAACTCTATCCCTCCCATTTCCGACTTGCTTAGAACCCTCTCGACCTCTTCCGCATTACACGCAGCACGCATTGCTGCCATGAGTCGCCACCCGAGGAATCAGGCTTTGACATCTCATTGGTCCTAGCCAAGGGAGAAGCCAGGCTAAGTTCTTCTCTCTCAAAAAGTTACTGACCAGTCTGGACTTGCAAAGGAGAGCGATGGTGACGAAACACACCTGCAGCAAACCACTAAGGGTCAGATTTTTAAAGTGTCTAGTGAGTTTTTCCAAAAGCCTCTAGCCAGTAACTCCCAAAGATTTCAGTGGGTGCCAAGCAAGTAGGTGTTTTTGAAAATGTCACTGCGTGCCTAGATACCTTTCAAAATCTGGCTCTAAGAGTCTTGGTCATTTTCCTGCTCCCCCAATACAGAAGAACAAGTGACGAGGAAACGGTAGGATCTCCCCAGCTATGAAACCCAAGGTTGGGCCCCCCCCCGTCCCAAGTCACGGGGCTTACAGTTGGTGCACCGTCTATCTCATCAATGATCAGGCAGTTTGGCTTCTCACTGGCCCCCAGCACAGATTTCATTTGAGTAGCAGCGTCAATCCGCGTTTTGAATATGTCCGGGCTGCGGTCATCACTGAAACAAAAGCCGTTTGGAGACATTTATATCCTCTTGAGTTTATTCGGCCTTGAAGATCTCCTGCCAGGATAGACTGGAAGGCCAGGCAGGAGAACCGACTCACCTGGCGTTCATTTCAACTGCATTGTATCCCGCTTGCTTGGCAATAACGTGGGCCAGCGTGGTCTTCCCCAAACCCGGTGGGCCACACAGCAGCGCCACCTACAGCAGAGAGTGGGAATGCAGAGCAATGCACACCGTGTGCCCAGCACAGGAGACCGTCGCTCGATACCAAACAAGGTCTATGTTGCAAAGGGTCAAAGCTCTATAGCCTGAAAACTGCTCTGTCTTCAAAGCTGCCCCATCTTCTACCTCTCAAGACTCCACGAACTTCTTGGCATTCAGATCCTATGGTGCTTTATACAGCAACACTAGCCCAGTATCCTGATCAAATCCCAGTTTGGGTCATTGTAACCTTGCCTATTTAATTCCTGCCATTTCAATGAAATTCTTCTTCACTTCCTGTCCTAAATGATCCTGTGGTACTGCTATTAAACAACAGCCTCTGTCCACCGTAGCAGTGGCTGCACTGATTGCTATAGCTATGTATTTTACATACCTAAGTCTGGCCAAGTTATAAAAGCAAATGAAAACAGTTCACTTATTCAAAGCGATGGGAGAATCCATTAATGGAACACATAAGGCAACCTTAACTATAGGCATCAGTGCCAGCAATATGTATGATGGTATATTTAAGTTTGTAGAGTGCTTTGAGATCCCTTCAGGGTGACACATTCTGCATAAGTGGTTAAGATCCCAGCAATGTATTTACTTAAAACAATCTTTGCCATAACCTTAATTTGTATCCCTTAATTTGCTGTTTAATCCAGCAGAGGAGATGTATGCAGTGCTATTCCGCTGTTGAGTATCTATTCTGGTTTTCCCTTCAAAATCCATTCATGGGACAGAGCTAAGCTGACCAAATCATAAAGCCAAGTGTATGATTTTATCCTCCTATGATGTATTTGTGCAGCGCTGCCCTCTGCTGGAAGGAATCGTGCCTGCTTAAGGGTACATAATGTCACCTCTAGTGGAGGGGATTTTCAGAAGACAAGATTGAACTACAGGACAAGCACAAGTATGCACCCAGCTGCAGCTGCCTGTGCTTGGAACAGTCTCCTTTCACCCCAGCCGCTATCCCACTTTTTAAACTTGCAAAATGCAAGTGCAAGCAGAAGTTGACAGGAAAACCCCAAGAATTCACTTAAATTCTAAAAAGTAAATCCAAATTTCTCAGGGTTGTGCTGGAAGAGGAGGGGCAAAGCTGCTAATACGGACCTTGTATTTGGGTCTCTTGTGGTGATCCAGCTCAGCTTCCAGAATCTCTTCTGTGAATTGTGCCTTACTTCTCCATTTGTTCTGCTGCTCCTTGGGCTGTTTGAATGGAGGGCGGGCGTCAACACTCGGCTTGGCTTTCTTCACGGGTTTTTCCTTCCCGAAGACCAGCACGTCCCACAGCTTCAGCCATTTCAGAAGGCAGCGATTTGTGTACTGAATGACAGAGGAGGAAAGGGGGAAGGATAAATAATCAAAGGAGCTTGAAGGATCTGCCTGAGCAGAAAATGAGAAACAGACGAGTGCAAGAGAGCCTCCCATGTACAGAGCTGAAAGTATCCTCCTCTGTAGCTTAAAAAGCTACCGTTTATGGACCGCAAAGATCTCGGTTGGGAGGTTCTTTTCCATGTGCACACATGAAACAACCAACGAGCTGAGCAGATCAGACTCGAGCCTTCAGGAGGCAGTAGGGATTTCTCCCCACCCCAGCCTCAGCCCCTCAATAAACACACAATTGGGTGCCCCAATACATGGATATAATTAACTAAATCAGGCATTTGACATTTTAATCTTCTTGAATGGAAGGTGCCATTTGGGTTAGAGGTAGTAGCACCATCTAGCAGGCCCAGCACTGGATTAGGAATCAGGAGACCTGTGTTGTATGCGCAGCTCTGCCATTGGCCTGCTGGGTGACCTAGGCATGTCCCTTCCCACCTCTCTGCCTGTTTTCCCTCCCACCCTTTGTCTCGCTTGGCCATTTAAATGTTAGGTTGTTTGGGGCAGGGACCATCTCTCACTATATGTATGAGCAGCACCCAGCACAATGGGGCCCTGATCTCAGCTGGGGTTTCCAGGAGCTGCGATAACACAAACAACAATAATTTGGCACCAGAAACCCCCAGGATTAAAGAACTATCATAAAAAGAACCCCCATCAGGTCTACTTTATATAGAGATCTTACATCATCACTGAGCAGCTCCGTGTAGTGTCTAGGAGTGAATCTGTCGACCCACAGGCAGTGCAGCGCAGATTCCTCCTCCTCGTCAGCACCATCCGTTTCCTCATTAGGCTCCGGGGTCTCATTTCCAGCCTCTCCAAGGAGGGGACTGCAAGGAACAAGGCAGAGATTAAAAACCTCAGAGCACAAAGTGCCCACCCATGAGAGCCTGTACCAGAGTCAAAGGAAAGATCAGGCAATAGTCAACACTAGCCTAGGTTCAAAACATCCAACACCAAAAGGACAGAAGAGATCCTAAATCCAGCTAACTTAATCCAGTTAGAGAAATCCACCTGAGCAGTTAGTTCTCCCTTCATCGCATTTCTCTAACTGCCCCAGGTCATGGGCTACATGCTAGCCCACTGAGCAACTTCTACCTATTCAGTGTTGAGGTTTTTCGAAAGATCACAGACTGCACTGGATAAATAGAGGTGATGGGGCTTGGGTATTTTTTAGGGCTGTCAATTAATCGCAGTTAACTCACACAATTAACTCAAAAAAATTAATCGCGATTAATAGCCGTTTTAATCGCACTGTTAAACAATAAAATACCAACTGAAACTTATTAAATATTTTTATGTTTTTCTACTTTTTCATATATATTGTATTCTGTGTTGTAACTGAAATCAAAGTGTATAATATTTTTGACTATAAATATTTGCACTGTAAAAATGAGAAACAAAGGAAATAGTATTTTTCAATTCACCTCATACAAGTGCTGTCGTGCAATCTCTTTGTCGTGAAAGTGCAACTTACAAATGTAGATTATTTTTTTTGTTACATAACTGCACTCAAAAACAAAACAATGTAAAACTTCAGAGCCTACAAGTCCACTCAGTCCTACTTCTTGTTCAGCCAATCGCTAAGACAAACAAGTTCGTCTACAGTTACAGGAGATAATGCTGCCCTCTTCTTATTTACAATGTCACCAGAAAGTGAGAACAGGCGTTTGCATGGCACTTTTGTAGCATGGGTTTCCAGCAGCGGTCACACCATTGCCAAGCACAGAGGTAAAATAACCTCTCGACTTGTCCTGGAGATTCCCCTGCTGATGCATCCCAGAATCACATTAGCTCTTTTGGTCACAGTATCACACTGGGAGCTCATGTTCAGCTGATTCTCCACCCCCACCCCCAAATTATTTTCAGAGTCACTGCTGCCCTGGATACAGTCCCCAATCCCATAGGTATGGCCTACGTTCTTTGTTCCTAGATGGATTCATGTACATACAGCCATACTAAAACGCATATTGTGTGCATGCACCCAGCTTACCAAGAGATCCGGATCGCTCTGTATCAATGACCTGCCTTCTTCATTGTTTACCACTCCCCCAATTTTTGAGTCATCTGCAGTTATCGGTGATGATTTTATGTTTCCTTCCAGGTCATTGATAAAAATCTTGACTAGCATAGGGCCAAGAATACATGCCTGCTGGACCCTACTGGAAACATTATTACAGTAACACCTGGAGGCCTCATCTGAGATCAGGGTCCCACTGCGCTAGCTGCTGTACATATATGTAGTAAGAGACCATCCCTGCCTCAAAGAGCTCACAGTCTATATAGACATGAGAGGCAAACAGCAAGCGAAAAAGGATGATCATGTTACAGATGGGGAACTAAGGCATGGTGTGATTAAGTGACATGCCCAAGGAAATCTGTGGCAGAGCTGGAAATTGTACCCAGATCTCCCGAGTTCCAGTTCATGTCTTGGACCACAAGGCCATTCTTCGACCTAAAGAAACCCTCTAGAGCAGGAAGCATCAGTGGCTGAGTCCCAACAGAAGCCTCATCGTGGTGACGGAAGCGGCACCAGAGAGCGACGTGTGAGAACCCTGGCAGTAGATGCTAGAAGGACAGAAGGAGAATTGCCAAAATGACCCACCTGTTTAATATTTCGGTCAGCCGCTGCGATGCCTCCAAAACCAGCCTCCGACGCTTAAAAACAAACAGGGGTGCGATGGGGGTCAGAAATGCTCTAATACATGGCTGGTGACTTAGCAGGGATTTCATAACTAATGCTCTTTGCCTGGCAGGGTGGCAAGGAGGTTATGCCGTGATGACTATTTTGCTTTAGTCCAAGAATTAAAATCCATATATTAAAATACGTCACTTCCCCGGTGGGCATTCTCCAGACCTGGCTGTTCAGGGACACGATATTTAAGGCCACGTTTTCGAAAGGTCTCCATCTGTGCTTGCAATAAAACAATCTGTGTGCGTCTGGTGGGTCCTTTGGTGCAAGTATGAATGAGGCTGAGCACTCAAACACTGACTGCATGCTCCTCAAGAAGGCCATCTGGCCAATTCTGAAGAACCAGGTTTTCCGATCTACCATATACAAAAAAAGCTAGTTTACAGAGTGCTACCCTCTCCTAGCTCATTTTGATCTCAGTGTTCTATCCACACAAGAAAGAAAAATGAATCATGTAAATTTGTTGCTGGATATAATCTATATGGTCCCTCTGGGGTCGGTACATTCACATCCTGAGGGTGTTTACAGTGAGGCAGGACCACCTGTTACAATCTGGTCAATTGTCTTGGTAGCTGAAACAGCCAAGAGCTTTTCTGACACGGAGGTGAAAGTGACCAACGAAACCTTGGATCACCAGTGATGGACACAGACTGGCCATCCAGCCAGACCGTCTTAAAGACCTAGCTAGAGATCAGTTTGCATGGTGCTCGTTCTGCAAGGAGACTACATTCCTTAAGGATCTGCTTTTTGATGGTAATCTATATGGAGCCATGCCTGGAAACCAAACATTTCATATGGGAAAGGAAGGAGAAGGGTTAGTCCAACAGAACAGACTCAAAGGGAAGCAGGGGAAGCCATCTCACACATTATTTGAGTCATGTTAAGTGGGCAAAGCACTTAAGAACATAATACAGGGAATAAATTTACTAGGGGTGACATTTTCCAAAGCATGTAAGCGACTACATCCCATTTTGAAAAGTGACTTAGGAATTTAGGAGACTAATTCTCATTGAAAGCCAACAGGACTTTGGCTCTAAGTCACTTACGTTCTTCTGGAAATGTTACCACAGTCTTTTTCCATCTCTAACTTCTACCATCAAAAGGGAAGCAAGCAGCAGATCAGAAAAATACACCTGCTGGCGATACTTTAGAACATCCGGAACCTTGATTTTCAGGTGTGTCTGCTAATTCTGGGTACCCAGCTTGACACACTGATAGCTTAATTCTTTCATAGGTTCCACAAACTACAGTCAGAACTGCAGGAGCTTAAGATGTATGGAAACTAAAGATCGAGGCACCCAGAATTAACAAACACTTGAAGATTCAGGTCGTTGATGCCTGACCCTAGAAATATCAATTGCTAGCTGAGAGAAAGAGCTAGAAATAGGAATTGGGTACCATACCTCTTCAGACACTTGCTCCTTTAGGTAGGAAAAAGGAACCCCCAGTAAATGAAGTGGTCTTTGTGCGTTCCAGCCCAGAGAGTTGGGGAGCTGTAAAGATCAGAGACTGCACTAGTATTTACAAAGCACAGGTTCATATTTCACCCTTAGCAAGAGACTCTAGAGTTACTCAGCTTCCATCACTGCATTGGAGGCTACAGAACAACCTAACCAACCCAGTCTCCAGTTGCCAGATCTTACCTTCACTCCAATTCTGGAGTGATCTTCCTTCAGAACCATGAAGACTCTGGTGCCATCAGCGGAAGTCACATTGACATAGTCCTCCAGGATGGGCGGGCGCTTGAGAACCCGTTTCGGGTCCTTTTTAGGGGGTGGCGTCACGCGCAGCGGAACCATGTCGCTCACTTCCATGCTATCCGGGCTCAGGAACTTTGGACTCCTTTAAGACAGGGACACAAGAGAAAGTGCCCATGAAATCACATTCCCAGCAGGCTAAACTCAATGTACCAAAACTTACTTCAAAACCAAAACATTCAAATCTAATACACCCCCAAATCAGATTTCATGGGCCTTTCTAGGTCACCAGAAAATGGCAACAAATACAAGCAGGAAAACGCTGTGCAAACTTCCACCCAACAAAGCTTGGTCATCCACACAAAGCCTGTCATGCAGCATTCCCAGCTATTCTAGCACTGGGCGCCCTCCACACGGCTCTGCCAACGTACCTACGTGCTGGTCTTCAGCACTTTGTAGTCTCGTCACCCGCACAGCTTCTGTCCTGATATTACAGTCCCCCCCATACACCACTCTACCGACCCTCAACCTTGACTCCCCGCATATCCTGTTAGTCCAGTCCTGCTCTTCCCGCCCTGTCAAAGCCCCTGAACCTGACCTCGAGCTCCTGCCAGGCCCAAGCAAGGCACTCAAATGTCACTGCAATGAGTATGGTATGAAAGTTTAGATAGCGAGGGGTCTCTCTGGAGCAGAAACCACCTGCGCTGTTGTGTGAAGTGGAAACAAAAAGGGACTAGGATAAAGCCACCCAACTCGTTTTCCCTTGTAACCTAAATGGACATCTGACCCCAAGCTTCCAACGACCTTTAGTTTACTGCACAAGTTTAGCTCCAAGATTTAAAATTACTGACTGCCAAGGGCCTTCCTCACAACAGTGACAAAATAACGAGAAAAGGATCCAAATCCTGTTAACCTGGCACTCTGTGGTTTGGAGCAGTCCCCCGGGGAAGGAGGCGGGGTAATGTCGTCCTGGGGGAAATCAGGAGAGGCCAATTTGTCCTCCGCACCAAAATTCAGCTTCTTAACGGCTTCAAGTCTTCGCCGCTTTGGCTTAGGAGCTGTTAGACACACAGGGAAGTGGGGGAGGGAATGCCGATCAAAGCAGGGTATTTACAGAGAGTTAATACAACTCCTTTCATCCAAAGATCTCAATGCACTTTATAAGCATTCGTGAACGGCGCTTCACATCCCCCTGTATCCCCTTTTAACAGATGGGCAACGGAGAAACAGTAAGGCAAACTGACTTGCCCAAAGAGTCAACAACAGAGACAAGAACAGACACCGGAAGTCCGAGTTTCCAAGATTGTCCTGCCAAGACACACACACAAACGTTTCCTGAATTAGAGAGATCCCGTAAAGTAAATTTTTCAGCGCAAGGCTACACGGTTGTGGCCTGCTCAGGGCCCACCTTTGAGACACCCTGGGAAATGAACTTCAGGTGCTTCGAAGAGGAACGTGGGCTTGGGAGACGGGTGGGAGGTGTCCGCTTTACCCTCTAGGTAACAGCAAACATGGCAAGCTGGCCAATCCAGCGTCATGCCAATAGTCTGAGCTGCAAAGGGAATCAGCCGCTACGAAGCCATTTAGGTGGAGGCAAAGGGAAGCACAAAAGGGCCTTGGCCTACAGGTATATAAAGCTAACCAAAGAGCATTTCCAAAACGTACTGAGCACAGCAGGAGGCTGGCGAGGGGGCAAGCTCCCCGAACACTCCTCCTCGGATTCATGCAGAATATGCTCTAGATGCCGCTTCCTTGGGTTAGCCTCCCCAGCGCTCTCCGCGGCATTTGTCTGGTGTTGAGAGTCCTTTTCCTGGCCTGGCTTGCAATTTAGAGCAGCAGAGTCCTTAACCCCATCCCCGGCTGTGATGGCTTCTTCAAATGTCTGCTTTCTGCTCCGGAGCTGGGAGACTTTTGGGGCCAACAGCTGAGATGGGACATCTGAAAGGGATATTTTAAAAAAAACGACAGCGATATGAGGTGACCCCTCTGCATGGGGGAGAAGCAGCCATGAATAAGCCCGATTTTAGCAAAGGAGATGCCAAACCAGACTGCAACACCGGCCAGCCAGCAGGCATAGCACTAAACTAGTCCTTTAGCCCAGCTAAGAGTGAACAGGTTTCTTTTAATATCCAGGTGGGTTCCGTCTACATTTGCTAGTCAAGCCAAGTTCCAGGTCCGTCCAGCTAGAAGCAAGTTTAGACATGGTTGCTTGCCCCAGGGAGATGGAACCTAAGTATTGGTGATTGTATTAAGAAATGTACCACACACGTTTTTATCACATAAAACCCTCAGATAAAATTCACTGTTACTCAAGTTTAAAACTTGCAGGGAAACTAGTCAACATCCAAGACCAACACTATGTACAAGCAAAAAAAAAAAAAAAAAAAACCAAGGAGGACCTGTGGCAGCTTAGGGACTAACAAATTTCTTTGGGCATAAGCTTTCGGGGGCTAAAACCCACTTCACTGCATTCGATAAGGTGGGTTTTAGCCCACAAAAGCTTATGCCTGAAGAAATTTGTTAGTCCCTAAGGTGCCAAAAGTACTCCTCGGTTTTTTTGCTGATACAGACTAACACGGCTACCCCTCTGAAACCTGTCACTATGCACAAGGGCATTAGGTAACCGCCACAGCATGATAAACCCCTTCCTGATGGGCTGGCTGCTGGACCAAGGCTGAATCTCCTGATAACACTAGGCAGCCCCGGCTTTGCCATCCTGAACTCAGCTCTGCCAGGGGCCGCAGGGGGCCCCACCTCTCTCGCCCCGCAGATCTTGCCATGCCAGTGCAAGCATGACGGCAACACGCTACAAACAAACCAGCAGCTGGCTTCGGACACACACAGCGCCACCCACCTTCCATCTCTGCCAGCACCTCCAGCTCGTCCGCAAACTGCTGGTCGAACTCATCTTCGATGCCATACAGCTCCGGCTCCTCCATGAGCCCGGCCCCGAGCTGAGCTCCGCTCCCCCAGCCTTGCACCGCCGACCGCCCGGGCTCCTCTTGCAGCTGCAAGCCGGGCTCGCGCGCCTCGCATGCCCTTCCGGGTAACGTTCCATCCCGCCGCCTCGCGAGCCGCTGATTGGCTGCCTCGCCCTCCGCGCGCCGCGGCCCGGGCTCGTGCCGCTCCCGGCTGGAAACAATGTAGCCGCGGCGCCTTTCCGCCAGCCCCAGGGCGCAGGGCAGCAGCTGCCTCGGCAGGTCGGTCGCGCTCGGTGCATTTCGGGGGTGCGTTGGAAGCAGGTTTTCGCTGCTGGGGGACCCCCCCCGGGCCAGCGCAAAAAGGCGGGGGAGGGGTTTGCACGAATGTCCTCATTTCTCTCCCCTGCAGGGACCCTCGCCCCTTCGCTTTTGCTGGTTTTGCAGCTGGAGCCGCTGTCTCAAGAAGAAGTTGCCCAGGAGGCCCGCTGAGTCCTGGCTGGGGGCGGCAGGAGGACGCACTGACTAGGCTCAGGGCACGTTATCCTTCAATCGGCCTCATCGTACATTAAAATAAGCGCCCCTCGCCGGCGCTCCTGCTGTTGGGAGGGGTCAGTGGCAAGAAGCGGTGGATGAAGGGGGTTGTTACCTGTGGGGTACCCACAACGGGATGTGGGTACCAACAACACCTGGGGCCTGCATCCCTTTTTTTCTCCTGCTGTGCATCATTGGATGCTGACTGCTACCAAAGCAAGCCTCCTTTTTGACAGGCGCTCAGACTACCCAGGAGAATATACCGTATAGTGTAGGGGACAATCTTGTATTGTGCCCTGGAGGTGCTGGATGGGTTCGCGGGTAGAATCGTTTCCGTTTTCAGTCATTCAGCCTGAACGGCAGGTGGTTTATTTTGTATCTAAAAATCAGTGGCGGTGAAGGAGCACAACGCATGTTGTGTTCCCGTCACACTGGTTTCTGACATTAAATGCACACTGTCCAATTTAAAACCATCCACTGTTAACAAACCATTCTTTGCCTATATTACTGACAACACGGATTCAGGTACCAGCAGTTTCTGTAGTTCAAAGACATCGCCTGAGGTTGTAACGGAAAGGATTTTAAAAATCCAAGTTACCTTTCACTCTTGATGGCTTGTGTTTACATTTTGCATTGCTCACAGCTTGATCAGTGAAGTGACTTTCACTTTTGTATTTAGGGCTGCAGTTTTTCAGTTTCAGCCAATGCAGGGCTATAAACAGATCGTATATATACCTTTCAAAATCGCTTTTTCCCATGGATTATACATTTTTTAATGGCACAGTAACATTTCTCTTGGGTTTTGTAGAAGCTTTGTTTTACACCATCTAAATTTTGGGCCTAGTCTGAGTTGACTGCATCCTTTCAATCATGGCCAGTGCAAAAGCCTGTCTGAAATTCAGCAAGTGCAGTGTATCTGCCCCCCACGTAAATCCCACATCAGATGGGTGCGCTCGTTATTATAAATTATTTGTATTGTGGTAGTACCTAGGAGCCCCAGCCTTGGACAAGGACCCCGTTGTGTTAGGCGCTATACAACCGCATTGTGACTCCTAAATGTTGCATAGAGAGTAGAAGTAAGAGGGTTCACTGCCCTTTGTACACAGCTGGAAGTGGGGAAACCATGAACATCACCACATCGCTGTACATCCCACAACAGGTGGGTGCGCTCACTTATTATTAATTACCTGTGTTATGATCGTGCCTCAGTCAGGGTCCCATTGTCATCGTTGCTGTATTAACACAATAAAAGACAGTCCCGGCCCCAAGGAGTCTTTCTATGAGAAGACACATCAAGGGGGCATGACAAACAATCGAAGAGGGTGGACGAAGGGAGGTGTGGAGCTTTCAACAGCTGGAGTGCGACAATGCTTCTGCACCATGTCACAGAAGTCCAGTGTATGTTTGATGGATTTTGATGCTTTTTGCTTTGTTTTGAAGGATTTTATAAACGAAAGAGCACGCTCCCAAGGTTGAACGCTTACTTCCCTTCAAAGGGCCATGGAGCCGGGCAGCATCGATAACTTGTCCATCCTGTACCAGAGCTCTGACTTCATTGTGGTCAACAAGCACTGGGATGTTCGCATCGACAGCAAGATGTGGTATGAGAAGCTGACCCTGCAGAGCCAGCTGAAGTACCGTTTCCCAGAGCTGGCTGACCCAGACACATATTATGGCTTCAGGTAAGTGAGCACGGAAGGGCAACGTTCATCTCAGCTCGACAGAGATGTTATCCCAATGCTCTAAGTGCACGTCCTCTCCGAGACAGCTGAGATGTTCCAGGAACATGAGCTTGCAAGACTAGGATGCAGAGAGCTGGGGATGAAACAGTCACAGGCCAGGGCAATCGACTTTAAAATGAGCTACCAGAGCAGATTCGTCTGAACCAAAACCTGGCCACCTTCAGAACATGCGACCGTGCCCCACTGTAATGGGAGCCAAGAAAGCAAGGAGAAGGGGAAAGAGGGAGAAGGTAAAGCTAGAATCACTCCTGAAACCTGGGACCGGCAAAGAGCAGAATCCATCACACACAGACAGTGCTTGGTGGATCTAAATTATCCACTGGAGCCCAGATCCCCAATGACAGGTTTCAGAGTAACAGCCGTGTTAGTCTGTATTCGCAAAAAGAAAAGGAGGACTTGTGGCACCTTAGAGACTAACCCATTTATTTGAGCATGAGCTTTCGTGAGCTACGGCTCACTTCATCGGATGCATACTGTGGAAACTACAGAAGACATTATATACACAGAGACCATGAAACACGTGTAAAATAATGTCTTCTGTAGTTTCCACAGTATGCATCCGATGAAGTGAGCTGTAGCTCACGAAAGCTCATGCTCAAATAAACTGGTTAGTCTCTAAGGTGCCACAAGTACTCCTTTTCTTTTTTCAGATCCTCAATGGTATTTAGGCACCTAACTCCCACTGAAATCATTAGAAATCATTTGAGGATAAAGGCCTAAGTACTGAGATCCTGACTGCAAACTGCTCCAGGTGGGCTGACTGCTGGGACATTCGGAATCCCTTTCCCTTATCAGTGGAAAGCCTCCATCCTCTGAGCAGCTTGCCCTAGATACTGCGATAATGGGCACTACAGAAAAACCAAACTGAGAATTAAAAGCACTTACAATTAATATAGATAAATAAGGTACAAGACGTCCCATTGAAATGGTGCTCTACCAGCAATGAGGATTATCTGTAACTATTTCAGTAAAAGAAAATTCAAGTTGCCAGTGTCCCTTTAAGAATGGGCTGTCTTGAGAGTATGCTGAGCACTTACATAAAGCTTTGCATCTTCAGAGCTGGGCAGATCTGGACTACAAGCTCTTGGTGTGGGCCTGGGCTTGGGCCAAGATCCAGCATGTACTTAGATGTACCCCAGCACCATAGATTAGCCTTTTAGGGTGGGATTTTCAAAGTAGCCTATGGGAGTTAGGCACCCAAACTCAGTGCCCTGTATTTAAACCATTACACCAGACTCCTGCTGTATGGGTGACAGAGCCAGCTGTGGCTTTTCAGAATCCCATGGAGGGTGTTTCTGACCCTCCCTTGCACTATCTATCTCTCCTAGGTTTTGCCACCAGCTAGACTTTTCCACCAGTGGAGCCCTCTGCGTTGCTCTCAATAAAGCGGCTGCCGGTAGCGCGTACAAGTGTTTTAAGGAACGGATGGTGACCAAGGCCTACCTCGCTCTGGTAAGCGTAGCCCGCTCTGTCATGGTCCACGTCCTCTCGGCCACCATTCATTGCATCCTGCCCTTTTAATGGCAGTGTTACTCTCCGAGGCGTATAAACCGGTAGTGTGTCCTCAGCCGTTTTTGGTTAAGGTTGGGATTCTGAAGGCACATCTGGCTCACAGCTGTTCAGCAGCAGCACTGGTGATTAAGAGCTAGAACTAAACCAGAATGTCATATGTCCTGGTGATGAGATTGGAGCTTGCTCACGGAGGAGCCGTCTTAAAACCTGGCCCACACTGAGGATGTAAAATCCAGCATTGCCCAGGAGAGTAGGTGGTTTAGAGGATTTGCAATAGGACATAGATCCTTTCCTCCCTAATCCAACAATTTCAGTCCAGCCCATCTTGGTAGTTACTGCCAAGTCATTACCTTCTGACAACTGTGGTCTTACCAGTGGGTCTCAATAGAGTAAACCACTCCATCAGCAGTCCCCGTGGTGGTACTCTGACCAGGCAAGCGAAGGATCGAATGGACTGGAGTCTGATCACTGATAGAAGTGATCTGTACCAGCCGTTGGTGAGATGATACGTTATCCGCACTGGCAATGTGCATGCTGTACCGTTCCTGCATGTGGAGAAGAGCGTCTTCCAGGTCTGCCAATTTGGCACCTTTCACTGGCACCAAATAAGGAAATCCCTGTAGTATTGTGAGGGTCTGGACTTGCTGGTAATTGGCTGAATACTGGGCATGCCAAAAGAAAACAGATCCACAAAGCTTTAAAGGTAACCCAGGGGTGAAGGTTTCATGCATTAGTCAAGCAGTTTGGTAGTTCCATTGTTTCTACCTAGCTTGATTCACCGAACAATAGGTAAACCCTGATTATACTGTTTGCTTCATATCTGAGGAGATTTAAGTACTTCCCTCCATGGGCAGCTCTACAGTAAAACCTTTGGCATGATTAAATCAGCATTGAAAATCAGTCGGTATAAATATGCCAGTAATCTTTTGATGTACGAGCTGACATAACTCTGCAGAGATCACAACGATTTGGTTTTGAAGCAATCTTGAGTGAAGGCAGCCGCTTTGGGGTGGAGGGAATACTCCAAGATTATTTAATTCCTTAAATACAAGGATTCCTTCATCTTAGTAGCTGAGGATAAACGTGTGTGATTTCCTGTGGTCTTGTGTGTTACTCCCTTTTGAACTTCAGTTTTCATGAAATGTTTCTAATCTCTTTAATAACAACGGCGAGCACAGTTGAAAAAAGATGGTAATTAGTGCTTACATCCTGACTCACCAGAGCATTTAAGCACGTGTTTAACTTAGAAGTCGATGTGATTTAACCATATGCTTAAAATATGAATAGAGACTAGGGAGCCTGGAGTGAAAGAAATGCCATAGAGAGATCAGCTCCAGTGCACCTGTGTAATAACAGTGTATGCAATGTCACTTTCCCACTATTGGCTGTTGTTAGCCCCAGATGTTTCAGAGACAACTGTTGTGTGAATATAGTTTTGTGCTTATAGATATGAGCTGAGGGGAATCCTCTGCCTAGCAATCTGGCCAAGTTATTAATTCAAAGCCAGTTGCAGACAAACGGCTTATTATCAGTGACATTTGGATGGTATCTCAGGAGAAAACGAACATGCGTTGAGTAAATGTCACTTGGCATTGCTTCTGAGACAGAATCAATTTGTCCAGCAGAACTGAGGGATGTCAAGCATGTCCTCAGAGAGGCATCTTAGGAAGTACTATTGATGTGTCTAGAGGTAATTATTGATACCCACTGTTAGTGTTGCAGGTGTTAGGAAGCACTAGTGCAAAAGTCTCTATGATAACCCACCCAAGATTTTATATATGTGTGTGTGTGTGTGTACATGGCTATATTAGTATTGCTTCCAGAGTGGGTATTCTTTGTGTGAATCACATGTCTGAACTCTATTTTCTGTGTCGTATTAACAGTTGGATGCTGCCGCCATTGACATTTAAATCGAGTACTCCGGGTCTGATGCTGAAAGTGACAGCACACAGTAGACGCATTGGAGTCCAGTGGGCTCTACAGAGATGCAGTGGTCTGCGTGCGCGCTGTCAGTTCCAGGATCAAAACCTTAGATCGTAAGTTCTTTGGTGCTGGGACTTTGCTGCCTTCTGTGAGAGCATGATTTTTTGTGTCAAGTTTCTGTTTTCTTGAGGGAAGAGTTGTGCCCAGAGTTGATGGCTCAGAAAAGGTTTCAATTGTTAAATTGCAATTTATTTCTGGGTTTTGTTTTTTCCAGTGGCCTGGAATTGTTCTGAGCTGAGTTTCAGGGGTTGGTTTGTCCCCTTAACTAACTAACTAACTCTTCTGTGCTGCAGGTCAGGGGCCACGTGAGTGAAAGCAGAATGACGATCCGTTATGCCATAGGGAAGAACACGACAGAGGGAATGACCCACATGATGTGTATTGAAGGGACAGAAGGTAAGCCTGCTCATAGATCAGACCCAGTGTCCTTTCCTTGCACTGTTATCTTGGTGGTTTGTATCATGAGACTGGCAGCTGTGATGGATATGGCTGAACTCCTATTTCCCATCTTGTTTTAGGCTGTGAAAATCCAAAGCCTTGCCAGTCAGAGCTAAGCGTCCTCGAGCATGGTTCATATAGTGGTGACCCGGCAACTAAAGTGCTTCTACAACCACTGACGGGTAAGTGCTGGAGGGCTGAGGCAACCCCAGCATGGCACTGTTTCTTATGTTAGAGGGAGCCAGGCCTTAGGGCCTTGACTAGGGTGCAGAGCTGTTTTGCTGACTCACCCTGACAGTGGCGCTGGGTGTGTCTCATCAGCGAAAATATTGAGAGTCTCTCTGAGGCAAGAGAGCTAGAGGGAAGGAGCAGGATGTCCTTCAGGGAGAAACCCCAGTCATCTGGCATTTGCAGCCCTGGGCCTTGTCTCTACTGTTGTGATTTGGTTCTGCACTGTGGACCAGAAGCATTTAGGGGCTAGGATGAGATGAAAGTCAAACTCATTGTCAGTCATGACCTAAATTGGGTCTTGAGCCCAGGTCTCCAAAGGTCAAAGAGTATGATGCATTCTCTCCCAACATCACGGGCATCAAGAGCCAGGGATTCAATGTCAGCGTTTGAACTCTGTGCCCTTTACTCTTTCATTCCTGTGTTGCATTTAGGCCGGACACACCAGCTCCGGGTTCACTGCAGTGCCGCTGGACACCCCATAGTGGGAGACTTCACGTACAGCTTTAAGAAGGACAGTAACCCGTACAGAATGATGCTCCATGCCTACTACCTGCGGATCCCTACCAGGAAGGAACTGATTGAGGTGAATGCTCCTGACCCCTTTCTGACCTCTCTGGATAGCAACTGGGTCCCTCACCACACTGTGCACCGACTGGACGAGATGCTCCAGGAATTGAAGGACAAGACTATCCGGGTAGAGGAAGAGGAGAGGAACCAGGAAGCATTGCTTCATAGTGGAGGAGAAGAGATGCCGAGCAAAGCCAAGAGCCTGGAGACAGAGGAAGAACGAGCCAAGTGTGAGCAGTGGTTGGCGGAGTGGGCCTTGGCATGAGATGCTGCTCTTGCTGTGCATTTCAAACCCAATATTCCATTTCTCACTGTGGGACGTGACAGACAATCCCCCCCCCCCCCCCAATCCCAGGACCCAACACCACCTCCACGTCAGCACGTTTTTATGCCGAGCTATCTTAGAATGAATCCTCCAAGGGTTCGTTTCCGGGACTGAGATTTGACTTATTTTAGCATCAAGTAGGATTTTGTTTATTGCGAGTCAAGCTCCACCCCACCACGGGATGCACATTCTCCTTGTTCTGCAACTCAGCTACGGGATTTGAATGGCGTGCACCATATCAGAAATGAGGCAGAAGCCCCAGTGGCCTGCAACTCTGTATTAGCGCTAAACTGCTAGGAGGGGTTCAGCAGAGCTGATCCATTTTAGGGCGCTCGTGCAGGGAACGGTGGAGCGCCTTTCAAACCTGTAGTACTAAACCATTGCCAGGATACAATCAATTTAAAGGGAATCAGTAATGGAGACGAGAAGGTGTGGACCTTACGCCTTTCTGGGTGGAATCTTTGGATCTGCTTTCACTTCCCCGTTCCCGCCTACTGATCATGTCCACTCACTGAGTCCTGTTAGCTATTGCTGTCTTCCAGTGCAGGGTATGAAGAAGTATCCTGCAGCATTTTGCATTGATCCCACTAAAAGGATGAGAGTCCTGCCAACCGGCCATGTGCTTTGTCAATGCGGGTAAACCCCAGTGAAACAGAGCATCTGGGAGGGTCCTCTCGTTGGAGGGTAGGACTCACTACCTTTCCCAAGTCTGCATTTAGACCACTTTTATTCCTAAAAGGTTTTAAATTGATGAATACTAATGAATTTTAAACTTTCTAAGGAAATTTGACACTGAATACAGTCCTTGAACAGTTCTGCAGTGCTGTCGGTCTCAGATATTTGTAACATCGCACTTCTAGTACACCGGCACCAGTAGCAGATTAAAAATAGCCAATGCCCCAAAAAGTTTCCCTACAGATGGTGAGATTTTATTACATACTTTACTTATATGCTCCTTTTCTAAGAGCTCGCTCTTGCCTGCACATGTCACTCCTGCTGTGACTAAAAATTGGCATTCCAGGCAATTCTCAGCAGACGAACACAATCCTAAGTAAATTCATGAGAATCACCTTGTTCTTCTATTGCCTGTGACAGGGTACTGCCTAAAAAGAAAAGGAGGACTTGTGGCACCTTAGAGACTAACCAATTTATTTGAGCATAAGCTTTCGTGAGCTACAGCTCACTTCATCCACACTATGCATCTGATGAAGTGAGCTGTAGCTCACGAAAGCTTATGCTCAAATAAATTGGTTAGTCTCTAAGGTGCCACAAGTACTCCTTTTCTTTTTGTGAATACAGACTAACACGGCTGTTACTCTGAAATTTATTTGAGCATCAGCTTTTGAGAGCTACAGCTCACTTCGTCGGATGCATACTGTAGCTCACGAAAGCTTATGCTCAAATAAATTTGTTAGTCTGTAAGGTGCCACAAGTCCTCCTGTTCTTTTTGCAGATACAGACTAACACGGCTGCTACTCTGAAAAGGGGACTTCCTGGCTTTCATCACTAGATGGTGCCTTAGGCAGTCTCAGGTATCACAAAAAGAAAAGGAGTACTTGTGGCACCTTAGAGACTAACCAATTTATTTGAGCATGAGCTTTCGTGAGCTACAGCTCACTTCATCAGATGTATACCATGGAAACTGCAGCAGACTTTATATACACACAGAGAATATGAAACAATACCTCCTCCCACCCCACTGTCCTGCTGGTAATAGCTTATCTAAAGTGATCAACAGGTGGGCCATTTCCAGCACAAATCCAGGTTTTCTCACCCTCCACCCCCACCTCCATGGGTGATAGCCCATGGCTATCACCAGCAGGAGAGTGAATTTGTGTGGGGGGGTGGAGGGTGAGAAAACCTGGATTTGTGCTGGAAATGGCCCACCTGCTGATCACTTTAGATAAGCTATTACCAGCAGGACAGTGGGGTGGGAGGAGGTATTGTTTCATATTCTCTGTGTGTATATAAAGTCTGCTGCAGTTTCCACGGTATACATCTGATGAAGTGAGCTGTAGCTCACGAAAGCTCATGCTCAAATAAATTGGTTAGTCTCTAAGGTGCCACAAGTACTCCTTTTCTTTTTGCGAATACAGACTAACACGGCTGTTCCTCTGAAACCTGTCAGGTATCACAGACCATTTGTTTAAATTGTCTTAGGACTTCAGCAGTGAGACTAGAGGAAAAACACACAAAACCAAAGGAATGTTAAGGGGCTGGTGAACACAAACCACAGCAAGGAAGGCTGGGACTCAGGGTCTCTGTTCTGGGAGAGTCAAGAGTTGAAGGGAAGCCTTAACCGAGAATTTCCTTGCTTTGCAAATCTAATTCAAATCTTCAGTGTTGCTGTACTTGCCATTTTTGTGTTTTAATTTTTTCCTTCGGCTTTTAACGGTAGTTTTAAAATAATGGAATAAAACTGTAATGGAATTCTGTGAGACAGTCCATAGATTATTGGGACAATAAACAACAATCACCCATTCAGTTCTATTGTGACCTGTGTATCTTACCTATTTACGTAGCACAAGTCACCTTAGTATCTAAGCACTGAGCTGTCACATCAGTGCATGCCTTTAGGGTCCCTTAATCCCCAGTCTATTGTGGATCTGATAGTGCACACTGTTTCAGTGTTGTTATAGCCGTGCTGATCCTAGGATATTAGAGAGGCAAGGTGGGTGAGGGAATATCTTTTATTGGACCAATTTCTGTTGGTGAAAGAGATGAGCTTTTGAGCTTCTACAGAGCTTTTCTTAAGGTCAGAGTAAAAGAGATTCCCTCACCCACCTTGTCTGTTCCCCCAGTTGACAAATCTACTGGGAGAGGTGAAAAGAACTTCACCGCTCTCCAGGGGACATGGAAACATAAATGTTCACTTAAATCATCCTTAGTTTTTGCCCCTCAGAATGGCTCTGGCCACCTATTTCCATGGATGCCATTTGATACATCCTCAGTATAGTCTCAGCTGCCAATGTAATGCACGCAGGCTCGCTTGTTTCCAGCATTGTAGCTGGTATGTTCTCCTTCTGGAGAACACGTAGGTCAGACTGACACACCCATCGGGAGGAGGATTTGTGTCTTAGAGAATTACATCTCATTGCACCAGTGGATGCATATGTGTCCCTGCAGCTTCCAGTAGCTGTATGGAATTGCTATGAAATGGGTCTTTGAGATAACAGTTCATCATCCGAGCTTTTGATGCATTGATAGGAGACTCTTCCTGTTTGGCACTTTATTGCTTGATATTTTGTGTGTGTGTTGCAGAGTTAGGGCCAGTTAATACCTGGTGGGTCATTATTTTTCATGGTTCTTCCCTACACTGTTCCCACTCATATCTGAAGCAGTGATCAGGTGATCAATGAATGTGAATTGATGCTGAGGGACATTCGTTAGGAGCAAAGCATTCAGCAAATTTTAGTAGCTACAGGAAGCAGAGTCTCTAGCTTGGTTTGCTTTAGTATCGGACCGTCCCCATTGAGTATCCTAGTTCAGCTGCTGGTATTTTGCCAGGCAGGCAGAGGCTCATCCAGTAGAGAACATGTGGTGTTCTCCACTGTGGTGGAGAAATTCCTGGCAACACTTATGCCCTTAACATAGGGCTTTGTGCAGGGCACGTACACTGGGGTGAATTGTACCCCATAAGAGATATAGAAAGTGTCTTCCAGCTGAGATATGCTCAGCATCAATCCTACCAGCTCAGCAGCGGTGTGTGTGGTGGGGGCCGTTTGGCTCACATTGGAGTGTGGCTGCCCGTTGGCCATGAAGATCTCAATTTGTCTTCGCTGTGGTGACCCATAACTCACACTCTCCCCCACGCATACACGCAAAGAGGAAAGTTAAGCCATTGTACGGGGAACCTCACTGGTTCGGTGAGCACACCCTAGTGTTTGTTCACCGGTTGACGGACAAAACTTGTCCCAAATATTTAAAGTCTTGAAAACATTCCATTCAGAACCCTGTGGACCAAATGTTGGTGCAAAGACCACAGCATCCCCTGTTTGTTCTGCACGCCTGGGAGGGTTTAGACTTTATGTATTGCACTTTTATCCAGTGTTGCAGGAATCAGAGATGAATATTTTTTTCCTGAAATTTTATGAATTGTGGATTGAGAAATATATTTTGCAGTAACATTTTTACACTGCTTCCACTGTTGAACTCCACTGTACAGTGTTTGCTCTCCTTTAGCTCCTCATCTGTGTTTATCATGTGGTAGAGATTTGACGGTTACTTCCCTTGGGTAATTTGCTAGGAGCCCTAGGTCGATCTATTTATATATTTATAATGTGGCGTGGGTAGTTTTGGTGGGAGTGTTTTGTGACATTTTGTAAACCTTGGGATAATCCTTGTTGTTCATTGTTAATGCATTTGTGGACATTCCTGTAATAAACCACTAAGTGTGCACCGTGCTTGTACCAATGGCCTGTTCAATTCACACAAACAGGGTGTTGCATGAAAAGGATGCTGCCAGATTAAAAAAATAAATAGCCAGTGTCCTTAGCCCCTTAAATTAAGGCAAAGCTTTCTGCACTGCTCCTCCCGCTATCCTGACGAGGAATTATCTCCATTCTACAAACGCTACTAGACAAGTTTCCTTTTCTTTGGTAAAGGAACAGACTCCATGGAACACCAAGGAGGGTCCAGTGAGTAGGTTCAATTCCATGCTCCCCCACTGGTTGCCTGTGTGAACTTGGGGCGAGTACGTTGTCACTCTGTGGCTCAGTTCCCCACCTGAGTAAGAGTAGCAGTACTATCCTTCCTTACAGGGGAGTTGTGAGGATGCATTCATTACAGTGGGGAGGCCTCCAATGATGAGGGTCAGATAAGGACCGTAGGGAGATAAACCATTCCCTCCATGGTGATCTTGGAGGGAAATGTAAGAATGAAGCATAGTTTAAAGGGGTGCTTTGTTCTTTGCAGCCCAGTTACTGTCTCCATAATCTTCCCTAGTTACTCTCTTACCAGTATTCATGGCCTAAATCTGACTCTCCTCCCACATCCCCTCCACACACACTAGCTGAAACCAGATACCCCCATATCATGTACACAGAGCGAGACTTTTGACTGTCTTTGTGATTTGCCTAACCCGGTCGCCTAGACTCAGGCCAGCGACAGGCAGGGAAGTAACATGCTCTCCCCGACCTGCTCTTGAACGTCATGGGTTCTTTGTAGGTGGAGCTGGAGGGTGAATCTAGCCCATCAAACTTCATGTTCTCCTTGTTCAGACACGAGCTCGGATGAGTCACCGTGCATCTAGGATGCTACTTCCATGCGTCAGAGCAGAGAGTCGGCCCCTTGCTCTGAGTGAGGGAGCAGCAGGAATGTTCTTGCTCTCTGTGCACCACCCTCATTGCATTGCATCGCCCAGGCCTCTCCTAACACTCAGAATGTGACCTCAGCAGTCTGAAATGTGACCTCAGCTGAGCCCAACCTTGTTGTCCTCCTTGCAACAGCAGGTCCCTCCTAGTTCTCCAGCCCTCTCCATACAGGAGCTTGGCCTGCATTCGCTTGAGCCAATCAATAAGTGGTTTGGCTTTGAAATTTCCAAACAATGTTTGATCCCGTCTACACTGAGCAGCCAAAGCATGTTCAAACCGAGGTTCCCTCGAGTGGTTTAGAAGCTGGTTTTGATGCTAGTGGAGATACAATAGTAAGTGACAGGAGATTCTCACACACAGACAGACACACACTGCGCAATTAAACCCCATGCAACCAGCTGCAGGGCCGTGTTCAGCCTAGTGACCGTGGAAGGCAGAGCAATTGTTTGCCGTATCAAGGAAGGCCAGACAAGCCAGGAGGGGCTTTAAGGAGGAATGAGCACATACTGGCCAGGCTGGAATTTCTTGACTCTCCCATCTGCTCACACTAACCCGGCAAACCTGCTATGAAAACACAGGCTTTAGTTCAGATCAGTCACTCAAGGGAAATCCCACCAGCTGCTGGTGCTAAGCTTTTAAAGGCCCTCCTGGTCAGCAGCGACTGGAGCGTGGAAGATGGACAAAGGGACTTCACCATTAAAGAGCTTTTAGTAAATTGCGATGAGAAAAAGCCAGACAAGGCACTCAGGGTGGTGAAAAATGGCCCTAAGCATTTAACAAGAAGATCCCAGTGCATTGCTTTCCCACCCCCTCACCAGATGGGAAGCGCTGGGTGCAAAGATGCCAGCTGTGATTTTTGGT